CTACCAGAGAGATGTGCAAGTTTTGAACAGGATACAGAAATGGTTTACCAGGATGTTGGCCAGTTTGCAGGGTATTATCTATAAGAACATAAGAAATAGGAGCAGGAGTAGGCCATCTGGCCCCTTGAGCCTGCTCTGCCATTCAATAAGATCATGGCTGATCTTTCCATAGACTCAGCTCCACTTACCCGCCTACTCACCACAACCCTTAATTCCTTTACTGTTCAAATATCTATCTATCTTTGCCTTAAAAACATTCAATGAGGTGGCCTTGACTGCTTCATTGGGCAAGGAAATCCACAGGGAATTCCTCTATGAGGAGAGGTTGGACAAACTTAGTATATTTTTACCGGAACATCAGAGACTGAGGGGCGACCTGATAGAAGTTTACAAAATTATGACAGGAAAGGATAGAATAGATAGTTTGGAATCTTTTTCCCAGGATAGAAATGTCAATTATTTGGGGACAATGGTTTAAGGTAAAAAGGGAAAAGTGTAAAGGAGATGTGAGAGGCAGGTTTTTTCTTTACACACAGGGTGGTAAGTGCTTGAAATGCTTTGCGAGAGGAGGTGGTGGAGGCGGATACAATAGCAACATTTAATAGGCACCTTGACAGATCCATGAATAGGCAGGGAATAGTGGGCTGTGTAGAGGCAGAAGGTATTTAGTTTAGAAAGGCATCATGCGTTAGCACAGGCTCGGTGGGCCAAAGGGCCTGTTCCTGTGCTGTACTGTTATTTTGTTCTTTGTTTTTTGTTCAATCTACCTTTAGTTCCCCATATTTCAACAGATCTGTAGGTTCACTGGGAACTCTCAGTTACCAGAATCCAGTTTCTCCTACTCCCATTGAATTTTTTTATAGCCCACGATTTTAGACCAGTTTCCATGTCTTACTTATCAATGTTGGATAATAAATTCAAACATCTATGACTGCTATTCTTATTTATTTTATTTTTAACCAACCTTAAGGACTCTTCACCACTTTACAGCCTATTCGTTTTAATCACACACTTCAAGTAAACAACTTCATGCAAATGGAAACTTATTTCTCACTGTATCAAAAGGGTTGCATATTTGATCTTTCTCTCAGCAATGTCCTTGTTTCCTCTCTCTTTAGAAGCAGCACCTTAGCAATCTTACCTACACTTTCAATTTTACTTGCATGCCAGTTTGACTTCTTGCTCTCTAATTTTGAATTTGAGTCAGGGATCTGACATTCTTTCAATATAGTTCTAGTTTTTACAACATTTACTTTTAGTTTTAACTTTAGCATACAGTTGGTATATAACAAACCTGGCCACACTTAAAGGATCAAAAAGTAAACAGCAAATTGTTTACCATTTAAAATTATAAAAGCATTTCTGCAGCAGATCAGGATTAAAAACAGGTTTCGCGCAGTATGTATATGTGATTTTCAACTAATTCCCATCTGCTGCTGTAATTTTAAACAGTGTTCTACCAAAATGAGAAGAAAAACATCCAGATGTAGAGTTCAAGTCAATCAAAATATGAACACAAATAATAAAGATAACAAAATATGCACTCAAGTACTACAGTACAAAAATAAGAACTCCAGTCTCCGTGATGTATAATGAGAAAATTCCTTTGTACTTCAATATTTTAACAGTGTGTCAACTTTGGTGACTTGTACGTGGCTTCAATTTAAATGGGGTTTGGGTTAATAATGATTTCTAGCTACACAGCAGTTATTGCAACAGATGCAAAGATTGCAGAGACCATGGTGGTTTAGGTGCAACTCACTTAGGTTTGAGGTTCTGCAAACTTCTGTGCCAGCTTAGCTCATTCTGTCTGAATTCTTTTTAAAACAAACAAAAACAGAAATTGCTGGAGAAACTCAGCAGATCTGGCAGGATCTATGGAGAGAAAACAGAGTTAACATTTTGAGTCCAGTTACTTTTCTCAGGATGTCTAAACTGCTTGAAATTAATAACATGTGTTATATGTGTGCAAGCTGCTCAAGGCAACATTTGTTCAGAAACAAAAAAGTGAAATGATTACTTTTTGATGACAACAGCTGAACGAAGCCCAAGAAAGGGCTAATAGGCGAGGTTCTGAAGGAGTTCATGCTCGTGTTACATTGAACCCACTCTTTCTGTTTATGCCACACAGTCTGTGGGTGGAGACAATGAGTTTTACACTAGTCTTCTCAGAAGCAAACATGTTCTGCACAGCTCTGGGAGCTCTAGTATTTATCTATGATTAGTATGTAAACAATGGCCTGGATTTTCCAATGTCCAGACAGTCATTATTCCACTGTAGGTAGGAGCTGTGCATTTCTTTGTGGAGTCTCCATTGTATAATATTCTGAAGGAATTGCCTGGAAAATTGAGGATTTCACTGGGTGAAATCTACACTTGGAATCCTCTGAAAGTCTTCATTTACAATCAGACAATTCGGAGGCGTACATTGCAATTAAATAAATAGTTACTCAGGAAAATTTAGACTATTAAATACATTGTCTAACTCCTGTATAACTATTCAACAAACCCCATGTTACTTCACGCATTCCCTAACTACACCTCCCCCAGACTGCTTCCACTCTCTAGGTCCCAACTTAACCCATCCCCTGAGACACAAATGCTCCCTATATCTCACGCAAGACTTGACCTTTCATTCTATCTCCTGCTACATGTCAAACTCCTTCAGTCCCCCTGCCCCGTACCCCAATTGTCGTAACCCAACCGTCACTCCTTGCCAGACATGATCCTATCCTATCATCCCCACCTCTCCACCACTGCCACTGGAACCTGCCACATTGGAGTTTAATCTGGAAAAATGTGAGGTAATACATTTCGGAAGATCTAATCCAGATGGAAAATATACAGTAAATGGCAGAACCCTTAAGAGTACTGATAGGCAGAGCTATCTGGGTGTGCAGGTACACAGGTCACTGAAAGTGGCAACGCAGGTGGAGAAGGTAGTCAACATGTTTGCCTTCATCAGCCGGGGCATTGAGTTTAAAACTTGGCAGGTAATGTTGCAGCTTTATAGAACCTTAGTTAGGCCGCATTTGGAATATTGTGTTCAATTCTGATCACCACACTACCAGAAGGATGTGGTGGCTTTGGAGAGGGTACAGAAAAGATTTACCAGGATGTTGCCTGGTATGGAAGGCATTAGCTTTGAGGAGAGGTTGGAGAAACTTGGGTTATTCTCACTGGAACGACGGAGGTTGAGGGGTAACCTGATAGAAGTCTACAAGATTATGAAGGGCACGGACAGAGTGGACAGTCAGAAGCTTTTTCCCAGGGTGGAAGAGTCAGTTACCAGGGGGCGTAGGTTTAAGGCACAAGGGGCAAGGTTTAAAGGTGATGTACAAGGCAAGATTTTTACACAGAGGGTGGTGGATGCCTGGAACCCGCTGCTGGGGGGAGGTAGTGGAAGCAGATATGATAGTGACTTTTAAAGGGCATCTTGACAAATACATGAATAGGATGGGTATAGAGGGATACGGTCCCCGGAAGGGTAGGTAGTTTTAATTGTGACGGGCAGCATGTCGGTGCGGGGTTGGAGGGCCGAAGGGCCTGTTCCTTTACTGTAATTTTCTTTGTTCTTTGCTGCCACTGGAGCTTACCCAAACCAGGCTGGACTTAACCCCAGCCCACCCCTTCCCCCACCCATTCCCTGCCATTGGGTGCACTCTCCCCACCATTCCCCATGGTACAGCCAATCCTCCTTCCCCCTCCACTGGACACTCCAGCATCTGCATGTGACTGTCCCTCCTCAGAATATCCAGTCCAATTTTGTTAATGCCACATCTGTAAAGGCTATACAGTCGTAAATCCTCAACTTCAGATCATTATTTAGGCCCTAGACAAAGTACAGTCAATAGAGGATTGGTGGCAACACACTGTCTCAAACAACCTTTACTCCAAAATCCTACTAGAAGTGGTAGCAGTTACCATAATGTGCCAGTAGTGGCAATCAGGGTATTACAGAAGTGTATTGGGCTTTTCCTTCATCTTACTTAATTGGGAATGTACTGGAAAGTATATTCATTAGTATAGAAGTAGAAGTTACATAATTGAACAATGACATATTTCAGTCTGATAAGAGTTTAGAACCACTGGGCTGAATGACCAATTATGGACAATTCATTAATAAACCTCACAAACAGCTTTGATCATAAATAAACAGTGATAGGATAGACACAGAGCGATGAAGCTTCTGTAAGTTAGAAAAGAAGCTCATAGGTGGAATGTTTCTTTGCAGGGCTAAACTGATGAGCAACGTCAACTCAAAGTTAGATAATAAAATGATGATGTAAAGTCTAGATTTATCAAGGACGGAAGGTTTGTGCAAGCACTCAAGAAACCTAGGTCAGAAACCTATATTTTATGAAGTTAATCTTATTGGGTTTATTGGGGGAAGCCTATCAGCAGTCCATACAGGTCCAGCTATGAGAAAGGGTATACAATAAGAGGTTTTAGGTAGTCTCAGGGCATTAGGTCAGTAAAGAGGGAATCCATACTAATACTCGTGGGTAGTTTGAGAAGTTTGAAGGCATGAGAACTGATAAGTAGAGAAAAGAGAAGAAAGTGCTCTTTGATCATGCCAGTGATCCAGCCCATCCTCAAGCAGGACTCTCTACTTCGCTGTATAATTAATCTTTTATCACCCAGACTCTGACAGTTTCTAAGCTCTGACTAATTCATCATCTCAACATCTCGATCTTTTGAGCGATGAAAGTCACTACTTAGCTCAATCCCAATGATTCCTTGGTCTTATCTGTACCTTAGGTGCAGACTGTTGCTAAGGCCAGCACCCTATTGCAGAATTAGTTTGGGAAAATGTACAAATCAAGAACTCCTATTTAACCATGATGTAGACAAGTAGTGATTAGGAATACATTTCCTCAAATTCATTTCACTAAAAGAAATAGATATTGAAGGTTAAAAAACATGTTTCAGAAATCTAGTTTCCAATTACGTGAAATATGTTAAACAGAACAAGTATAAAATGTTGCAAAACATCTTACTTTTGACCAGTTTTCACAAATTCTTTTGTGGAAGGTCCTCTGTTTGTGGCCGCAGCTCTCCCTCCAAGTCCAATTATAAGAGCTGTCAGTAAAGCACTCTTTCCACCTGGAGTCAAATAAAAGCAAGAGGTCACTGGAGTTCAAGTTTTCACATCAGCACAATTCAGGTGTAACCAGTTAAACCAACACAGAAGATTGCAGACTTTAAAAATATAGACAGCAGACAAGCTGATGTCCTTTCATGTTTGCAGTGATTTATTTTAACACTGGCTCAATTCAGAGAGTGCCTGAATAAAGCCACAGGCTCTCAAAACTGGTCATGCCCCTTCAATCAAAATAGGGAGATTCCACTGATGATGCTGATTCATGAAGCACTTTCAAATTGTATTCACTTTCTTAACCATACTGACCTTTCAAAGACACTTTTTGGAAGTATTTAAAGATCAAGAAAAAGTCTTTTTTTTTACTATGGAACGGACAAATATTCACCTGTGTAACTACTTGAAGTGATTTATAGTCTTAGCTTGGTGTCTGAGCTAAACCAGATTGGGAATTCTTCCTCATAACCTTCTTAGTTAAGTCCAAGCCATTCAGCCTTTACAGATGCCTCTTCTGGGTCCAAAGAATTATGTAACCATCACTCAGAAAAGATTAACAGAGAATCTTGCCTACTTCCAAATGGCTTACTTTGTTTTTCAATAAACATTATTTACGCCATCAATAATTCAGATTTATCAGGATTGGAAGCACTCTTCAGGTTAAAGCGCATATAGAGAGGGAGTTCATTTAGTTACATACAGTAAACTACATGAGATGATTTACTGAGTTTTACAAATACACTAAAAGAAATTAATATGCAATATACACTTCAAATGGTCAAGTATACCACTGCACTATAAAAGATGGAAAGCTAAATCTTACTTCGAATACAGATCCAAAAGTGTAATGTTATGGCAGTTACCTTAGAATATCCACTAAAATTCAAGGTTAACTATTATCTGAAATTTGCTAAGTGATTGTAAGATATCTGCTCTCCATTATGAAAGAAGACACCTATAACAATTGTTGTTTGAGGCAACACCTAAGTTTCCAGCATTCTCAAGATAATACTGTTATTAATCAGTTACCTCAAAATGAGGCTGATACAAGATTCATCCCCCTTCCATATAAGATTCTACTGTTTAATATTATTTAATTATTGGAAAAATCCCTTAGGAAGTTGTGAGATTTTACTTGGTCAAATTGTTTATAATATCTTATAATAACCATACTATGATTTTTTTTTATTCTTTATTATGTTTTATTCTTAAAAAAACACTTTTCTTTTAAAGCAAGGAACATTCAGTAATTTCTTTAGCATCAGTCACATAGCATTTGTTTCGTATCAGTGATGTTTCACTTTGTGATTGTTCATTCATCCCAATTTCATTCCTTGGTACCATTTCAGAGCACTCACTTAAACTTAGACTGTAATGTTTACATCTTAAAAATGCAATGTGTATTATATATTTTATATGAACGATCTATTCATCAGATTTTAGGTCTTATCCTGTTCCATGCATTCTTTAATTAATAGCGTGTGTGTATGTCCACATAATTTGCTAGACCTGTTTTGCCTAAAAGTGAATTGCCTGCCTTTTTTGTAAATGATTTTCATGCAGTAGAGCCATGGGTTGAGGGATCTGTTCTGTTAACCCTTACCTGTCCAAACTGAATATTTATCTTCTAAGTGTAAAGGTTTAAGCATATGTATTTAATGAGCTATATTGTTTCCCAAATATCTCTGCATTGCATATACTCTCTTTAGATTGTAAATAATTTAATTCTGATTCTTTAGCAGTCATTTTCAGTGATTTTAAATCAGGTTACTCATATGTTGAAGACCAGACTCCCTTATTAAAAATACTTCTTCTTCTTGGTTGTCAATCAATTTTTAGCTTCATAAATAAAACTGCACTCAGGTGCAGTTACCACTCAAAGAAATCAAGGAATGTTTTTCAATAGAAAGGAAAAGATATATGTTCTATTATGCAAATCAATGTTAGTAGATACTTGAAGCATACCACAACAATAGAATTGTAGAATGATTCAGTGCAAAAGAAGGCCATGCAGGTTATTGTGTCTATTGCAGTTCTTTTCAAAGGAGTTATGTAAGTAGTTTCACTGCCTCGCTTTTTCCATATTGCCCCGCAAACTTCCTCTAACGTCTGAAGTAAAATAATGCTGGAAATACACAGCAGGACCAACAGGATCAGAAGGTGAACTGTTGCATATTTCCAGTGACTTCTCTTTGTGATGGGCTCGAAAAAGAAGTATCATCTGTGGAAATCAACTAGCGAGAGCTGGATAGTGGAATGTGAGGATGGGTCAAGAGAAATTTTCATTTTGAAATCATCATATCTCAGAAACAATCAAAAGCATCCCATATAGTTAATTACTCTGAAATACAGTCACTGCTACTTTACACATAAATACAGCAGTTATTTAGCATGCACTTTCCACAATTAAAAATTATATAAATGGTCAGCTCATCACTTTTAACCTGTTACTTGAGGGTAGAATATTGGACAAATAGCAACCCTCCTGCTCTTTGAATGAGGCTGCATAACCTTTAATGTACATGTGAAGCACAAATAATACAAGGGGAAAGGGAGAAATTATGGAGAATCCAAAAATAATGCACAGAAATGTAGCTACATTCATCATAACAATAGTTATAATGTAATTGCATTTGACTTTCGATTTATTCCAGCTCATAACCAGCCTAGTTTCCTTGGAGTGCTTTGGAAGAGTTACAGTCAAACTGATGTGGGAAGGAAGGGCCAGCAGAGCTATTAGTATATTCTTCCAGAGGCACTGTATAACAAAAACCTGAAAGAAATTAATTTTCTGATTCATAGAAAGAATCATCTGATACATCAAATTTCTCAATTATGGGTTAAATGAAGGTAAGCAAATTCATTGGAGCACAACCACCTTCAAATTTCCCTCCAAGTAACACACTACACCATCATGATTATTCCTTTGATGTCACTGGGTCAACATCCTGTGACTGCTTCCCTATGTGAGTTTGTCAATGCATCGCCTGCAGCAGATCATGAAGGCATTTAACTATGTCAGTCCCAGCTTAGTTGGTAGCATGTTTACCTTCTGTCTTCAAATTCCACTTTAAGGCTGACACTCTAGAGCAGTACTGAAGACGTACTGCATTGTCAGGGATGCTGCCTTTCAGATGAAATGTTAAAATGAGGCCCTATTTGCCTTCTCTGGTGAATGCAAAAAAATCACAGGCAGCCTTTGTAAAGAAGAGTTGGTGAGCCATCCTGAGTGTCTTAACCAATTTTTATCCCTCAATCAACATCAGAGAAAAATCAGACTATCTGGTCATTAACACATTGTGGGAATTTGCCAAGTGCACACTGCCTGCTATATTTCAACATTTACAATAGGACAACACTTCAAAATACTTAATCGATTTTTAAGCACTTTGAGATGCTTGGTGATGATGAAAAGCACTATATAAATGCAAATCTTGTTCAAAGTTGGCTCACCATCAGCTTCACAAGGTTATGTGGGATGGGCAATAATGCTGCATTGTCAATGACACAAACTCAAAATGTGCAATGAAAAATACGAATTACTCAACATTTTGAAATAAAGTGCCTTTATGTAGCAAAAATGATAGAACAACATAACTGTAAAATATTATGAATAGCAAATGAACCTTATGCAGGGAGTGTTTTAACATAAAATTAGGAAGCTGATTCTTTTCTCTTCCCATGCCTAATGGTGCAGGATGCAGTCAAAAAATATGCTTATGTCTGTTTCCATAGCTTTTTCTTTATCCTGGACCAAGTTACTACTGTGTCACTAGAGGCTATGTCACTTGAGGGGTGCAACATTAGAAAACTCCATATGATAAACTTCAGTTCACCATTCCTATTAATTCACACTGCTAGCTTTATAGATCAAAATGCCTGTATGAAGATGCAAATTATTGCATCAAAAGCTGGAAAGAAAGATATTGCAGGATTGAAATTATGAGAGATGCTGATAGTTTTAAAAGACTTTTACACTTACTTCCATTGTTCCCACTCACAAAGTTGAAATGGGGCCCAAATGAAAGTTTAAGGGAACTATGGCACATGAAATTTTTCAACAAAATACTTTCAATGATTCCGACTTGACATGCATTCTGGAACAGGTAAACATGTGTTAGATGCAACCACAAGTACAACCATATATATCTGTAAATAGGAGAACATAACAATGGTTTATTTGATTTAAATAATCACAGCGCTCTGTCACATTTCCATAATATCCTTCTGCCCTCGCAAATATTTTTGTATTGACATGTTTCTTTGTTTTCTTCATAGAAGTATAAATTCTAAACACCAAATATTCAGAATAACTTTTTGCGAATCATTGTGATTAAGCACCTAGCTAGATTGAAACAATTCCAAACGTTTTTAAGTATTGCTGTAATTTCAACTACAGGGGCCTACTGGAACACTTGCTTGCCCTTTGTGGCAAGGTGCATACTTTTTAAAAAGCATCCATTGTGCTTCTGATATATACAAAAACAATGGTAAGATCAAGAAATAAATGTGTGGGTGATACAGTAAAAGGAACAGGGAGAAATAACTTCAGAGATAGTAGGAACTGCAGATGCTGGAGATTTCTGAGATAACAATGTGTAGAGCTGGATGAACACAGCAGGCCAAGCAGCATCAGTGGAGCAGGAAAGCTGACGTTTCGGGCCTAGACCCTTCTTCAGAAATGGAGAAGAATGGAGAAATGCCATTTCTCCACTTTTCTCCATTTCTGAAGAAGGGTCTAGGCCCGAAACGTCAGCTTTCCTGCTCCACTGATGCTGCTTGGCCTGCTGTGTTCATCCAGCTCTACACCTTGTTATATCAGGGAGAAATAACGATCAGTCTCACAGTATCAGTATCTAATGCATATGATGGTGTTAATGGCCCTTCACCCTTAGATATTCAAGGCTCAAAACACAGTAATCAGGTGTGTTTTACCTACAATGTTTAACATCATACTATACAAATAATCAGAATTTTATGAAATCCATCAAGTTGACAAATTGTGTACTCTGCACATTTAACTTTCACGTATTTCAGCTCCTACTCAGGGATCAGATTCAGATATGGCCATCCACTAAATGCATCTGATTTTCTTACTTTTATGTTTTGTTTGGAAAGCTTACTTCCCTTTTGGATTTCCTCTACTTCCCAACACAAACTTTCTGAATGGCGGTTCTGACTTCAAAGACTCCTATGATTGCAAAAGAAATGTCATACCACCTATTTCCTGCTAGAAAATGTCCCACCTAGACAGTCAGGCCTAAATCAGTGATAAATATTCACCCAGGGTGAACGTGGATAACTCATGCTGTGTTCACCACACATTGCAGTTTTCTCATTTCTCTTGCTGGTTTCTCTCATATCAGATTCCTCTGTGCTTCCAGTATTCAATTTCTTTGTAGGTATAGTTCCTTCACAAAAATTTTTCATTCGTTTCGACATTGTGAAGGGCAGGTCCTGAAAATGTAGAAAAGTTGCCAAGTTATTGGATTGTGGATAGGTTTACATTAGAAATTTGAACTGCATCAATTTGGATAGAATTTAAGCTCAGGGTCTACTTTAGGGATTTTGTCATTTCTTAGAAATCTGTAAAATGTTTTATAGATCCGGACTTTTAGAGCAATCAGATCATTTTTGAGCTCTACAAGACAATAATATAATTAATGAAAAGTCAAGTACCATTTAACATTCTACCTCATCCGACAATATATAAAAAGTCTTATCTTTCATAATGAACATAACATGAAAGGGCACTGTACTACTTAGTGAATACTTACGACAAACCTTGGGAATTTGTTGATGATATCAAGTGTTGATACTTCTACTGTAATAATTTGTACTGAATGTAATTATTGTAGTCTATCAAGATTTATGTCAATTTAAAATGGTAAAGATAATGTGACAGACAACAATTCAAGGCACTTTTTGTTCATCTGATTTACACTTGCCCATAGTCTTTCTAAAACACTGGCAGTTGTGACAGTTAGAAATTCATTTTAATGCTGTTCGATGGGAATCTGGGACTTGTATGAACAAAGCAAACAATGATGTATCTCCTTAAGCAGTCAGAAAGAAGAATCCCTATTGGCCACGCAGCAAGCTACTGTCCATGCCATGCCATTACTGAAGAACCAGCAAGATATCAAAGGTGGAGTCAAAAATTGCAACGCTTGGCCACCTTACAGAAGTTATCTTAGCAAAGGGAATTGAAGCATACTCCAGTGTTTCCAATGTTGAGGAAACTTACTGCTTGTGATAGCTGGTAAGATTCTAACAAAAGCCCCACTCAAATGGCAGATTATATAGCAAACAAAGTGTAATGGCACAATTTAATTTTTCCACTAAAAGAAATTTTAAAAAGTTTATCATTTAAAAATACATATGATCAAGCAGAACCAGCATAGCTTCATGAAGGGGACAGTCCCCAGGGCCTAATGGGAGCTATCCCAGGATGCTGAGGGAGATGAGGGAGGAGATTGCTGGGGCCTTGACAGAGATCATTGTATCCTCTTTAGCCATAGGCAAGGTCCCAGGAGACTGGAGAATAGCCAATGTTGGTCTTTGTTCAAGAAAGGCAACGGAGATATTCAAGGAAGTCATAGGCCAGCGAGCCATACATCAGTTGTGGGAATATTATTGCAGAAGATTCTCAGGGACAGCATTTGTTCACATTTAAAAAGAATGGACTTATTAGAGATAGTCAGCATGGCTCTGCGTAGGAGGTCTTGCATTACAAATTTGATTAATTTTTTTGAGGAAGTGATGAAGATGATTGACGACGGTAAGCCAGTAGTTATTGTCCACATGGATTTTCCTGAAACATTTGACAAGGCCCCTCATGGTATGCTAGTCCAAACAATTAAGTCATATGGGATACACAGTGAGTTCGTAAGTTGGATACAAAATTGGCTTTGTCATAGCAGTTAGACTGTTGCTGTGGAGGGGTGTTTTTCTGACTGGGGGTGAGTGACAAATGGCGTTTCACAAGGATCAGTGCTGGGGCCTTTGTTGTTTATAATATATATAAAAATGATTTGGCTGAGAATGTAAGGGTCAGATAGTTAGTTTACAGACGACACAAAAATTGGTGCAGTTGTGGATAGTTAGGAGGGTTGTGAAAGGATGCAGCAGGACACAGATTAGTTAGAAACTTGGCAGAGAAATGGCAGATGGAGTTTAATCCAGGCAAGTGAGGTGATACATTCTGAGAGGTCAAATGGAAAAGGAAAGTACACAGTAAATGGCAAGATCCTTAGGAGCATTAATATACAGAGGGATCTTGGGGTGCAAGTCCATAGCTCCCTGAAAGTGGTGACACAAGTGGTGAAGAAGGCATACTGCATGCTTGCCTTTATCGGTCAGGGCACTAACAAATCATGTTATAGTTATATAAAAGTTTAGTGAGGCCACGTTTGGAGTATTGTGTGCAGTTCTGATTGCGAGACTATAGGAAGGATGTGGAGGCTTGAGCGACAATATAAAAATGGTTTACCAGGATATTGTCTGGATTGGAGTGTATTACCTATAAGGAGAGGTTGGACAAACTTGGTTTGGGTCAGACCGTTGGGATTTCTCTTCCATCTACTGCCACATCCAGTTCTGGATCTACAGTTCCTCAGAAATTCAGCCCAATATGTCAAGTTAAAGTTAACAGTCAGTCTAATCACTTGCTAAGTAGAGATTTTGAAATGTCTCCTTCACTCTTTCTTCAAACAACGCAGAAAAACAAAACAAAATAAAGTTGAAAGTCCTACTACTGGAAGCTGAAGAAAAAGGCTGGGCTAATGGATGAATGCACAAGGGCAAAGCTGTACATACTGATCATGCTCACTCTGCAAACTCTGCTGTCAGGTAGCACACAGCCAAAGCTCTGAACAGATATTATTGTCCTGAAACTTTAAGTGCAGGTAATATCATTAACATGTACCATAAAATCTCACCACTGCTAACCTACGCTGGAGTATCCTGGTTTTGTTATTAGAATTGGCTTTATAGCTGTGACTGAAGAGTGGCATAACAAATTAATAGTTAACAAATTGTTTCACTTCTAGGTTTCTGCACAGATTAAACTTAATGTGTTTAATCATCTATGGCAGCAAATCACTAAATTACATCATACAAAAAGAATGAATTAAAGGTCAGCAGGAGGAGGAAGTCTCTTGCTAAAATAGGATTTCTTGTGTCACCCTCAAGTTTTATCAAGAGATTATATCTGATCCTTTCAATTACAGCATCTAACTGTGTGAGAAATTGTTCAGTGTAAGAAATAGTTGCATTTTCATTACTTTAAACTTTCAAAAATGTGGGATCTGCTTTGATCAAGGTAATTTTGAAATGTATAAATCAAAGGTAGCTGTAGTGCAATGGCCAGAAGTGATGCTGCTTGTCTTAAGCACAGTCCTGTGTCAAAGCATAATTATAGTCAAACACACAGTGACACTGACATCAAAAATTACAGATTAAAATTACGTTACTGAACAGCATCTCAACAGAAAAAAAAAACTTGCGATGAAGAATAGAGAATACTACACAACAACGCATTGAAGCCAAAGCCTAAATTTTGAAATCAGTAATGCAAGGGTAATGCATGTTGCTGGCCCAACACCTCAGAGAGCTCCTGAGCACTGATTTCCTTTATTCAATGAGACTTTGAATCTGGTGCTATCCACAGGTGCCCAACAGCAGGATCATCTGACAAGCTGATTCAAGGATTTTCAGACAAAAAAAACAGTGAAACAGAATTATGTTATTTACTTGGAACTAAAGTAGAACCTGAAATATCGTGGACCAGCTAAAATATAAAATGAAATTTTATAATATTTTTAAAATCATGGAATTATTAGATGCACTTTTGATCAATACTTTTAAAATTAGTTTTTCAATGAGGTTATTTCCCAGATATTAATCCACTTAGCCTACACATCTTTGGGCACTATGGGCAATTTAGCATGGCCAATCCAATCCACCTTACCTGCACATCTTTGGACTGTGGGAGGAAACCCACACAGATACAGGGAGAATGTGCAAAATCTACACAGACAGTCACCCAAGGCTGGAATCAAATACAGGCACTGTGAGGCAGCAGTGCTAATCACTGAGCCACCATGTCACCCATGTCAAACCATGGTTTTTAAATCTATCGACTACAAGCCTGAACTGAATGTTAAAATCAGAGACTTTTCTCATTTTTTAAAAGAAATTATTTAAGTTTTAGTCTATCTAAACTGATCTTTATAAAATTATAAAACACATGCATGCGCTGCTTTTTATATAAGGGGATATATCAAGGTAATTTTCCGCATGGTCAGGCAGATGGCAGCATTGTAGCTGTACTGTAACAGCTTAGCTAGGGGAACAGCAAATTTTGGACTGCAGATCTTCAGTATTAGCATGAGATGTTGTCAAAACCTATAGTCTTTGCAATGTCCAGTGCCTCCAGACATTACTTGATATTCCATGAAGTGAAGAAAATTGACTGAAGTTTGGCATCTGTGATATTGCAGGGGTCTCTGGGGAAGCTGGGATCTACTTGGCACTTCTGGCTGAAGATGGTTACAAATGTTTCAGCCTTACCTTTTGCACTGATAGAGGGCTTACCCATCTTTGAGGATGGGGATATTTGTGGAGCCGCCTCCTCCTCCAGTGAACTGTATAATTATCTACCACCATTCGCGACTGGATGTGGCAGGACTGCAGAGTTTAGATTTAACCCTATGATCGTTGAATCACATAGCTCTGCCCATCTGACCTTGAAGGGAATTCTGTGTAAAAAGAAAAGCCTCCTGAGGGTTAAATCACAAGGATAGATTACACTAGTGAGGGCTGGAGCTCCTGGAATTTAGAAGATGTTAAAATGTTATGGGGAAAATCTAATGTAGTTTGAGGAAAATTATTTCTAATATTTGGAAAACAGGAGTAGACTGAATAATTTGAGCTGGACACCTAGAAATGGATTAAAAATGTCTTCATTCCAGGATTGTAAAAGTTTGGAAGTCTCTTGAACAAATAATTAGCTAGTAACCAGGTAAATTGTAAACTCTAAATTAGAGATTTTATTCATTTCTCTGAACCATGCATATTGGAGGATATGGAAGCAAAGGAAGGCATATGGAATTGGATACAGTTCAACCATGATTCCATTGAACAACTGAACAATGATTTAGAGACTGCAGATGCTGGTGTCAGAGACAATACAGTACGGAGCTGGAGGAACACATCAGGCCAGGCAGCATCGGAGGAGCAGGAAAGTTGATGTTTCGGGTCGGGATCCTTCTTCAGAAATGGGGGAGGGGTAAAGGAGCTGGAAAATAAATAGAGAGAGGAGGGGTGGGGCTGGGGAAGGTAGGGGGCATGGTGATAGGTGAGTGCAGGTAGGGAGTGATAGGGATTGGTCAGTTCGATGGGTGGGGTGGATAGGTGGGAGAGGTTGTGTCGGGTCAAGGAGGCGGGGATGAGAGGGATGGTTGGACATGGGATGAGGCTGGGGGTTCAGAGATTTTAAAACTGGTGATTTCCATGTTTAGGCCATTGGGCTGTAGGGTCCCGGGGTGGAATATGAGGTGCTGCTCCTCCAGTTTGCAGGTGGTGTCATTGTGGCAGCGGAGGAGGCCCAGGATGGACATGTCACCCAGGAAGTGGGAGGGGGAGTTAAAATGGTTGGTGACCTGAAGGTGTCGTCATTTGTCACATACAGAGCACAGATGATCTACAAAACGGTCTCTGAGTCTATGCTTGGTCTCACCGCTGTACAAGAGGCCACATCAGGAGCAGCGGATACAGTAGACCGAGTTGACGGATGTACAGGTGAACCTCCGTCTGATATGAAAAGTTTGCTTTGGGCCTTGAATGGAGGTGAAGGGGGAGGTGTAGGGGCAGGTGTAGCACTTCCTGCGGGTTGCAGGGAAAGGTGCTGGGGGTGGTGGAGATAGTGGAGAGAATGGAGTGGACGAGGGAATCGCGGAGAGAGCGGTCCCTATGAAAGGCGGATAGAGGTGAAGAGGGAAATATCTCTGGTTGAGGGGTTGGATTGTAGGTGGCAGAAGTGGCAGAGAATGATACGTTGGATGCGAAGGTTTTTGGGGTGATATGTGAGGACAACGGGGATTCTGTATTTATTTTTGTTGGGGGAGGGGGTTTGAGGGCAGAAGTACGGAAAATGCAAAAGATGCAGTTGGGAGCATTTTTGATCACCGGACGGGGGAAGTTGCAGTCCTTGAATTAGGAGGACATCTGGGATGTTCGGCAGTGGAACGTTCCATCTTGGGAGCAGATGCGGTGGAGGCAGAGGAATTGTGAGTAGGGGATCTAATTCTTGCAGGAAGGTGGGTGAGAGGAGGTGTATTCTAGGTAGCTGTGGGAGTTGGTGGGCTTGAAATAGGTGTCAGTTTCGAGGCGGTTACCAGAGATAGAGACAGAGAGGTCCAGGAAGGAGAGGGAGGTATTGGAGATGGTTCAGGTGAATTTGAGGTTGGAGTGAAAGGTGTTAGTAAAGTTGATGAATTGTCCAAGCTCCTCATGAGAGCATGAAGCAGCACTGATACAGTCATCGATGTAGTGGAGGAAGAGGTGGGGGATAGTGCCAGTGTAAAAGCAGAAGAGGGACTGTTCCACGTATCCTACAAAGAGGCAGGCATAGCTTGGGCCCATGTGGGTACCCATGGCCACCCTCTTAGTCTGTAGGAAGTGGGAGGAGTTAAAGGAGAAATTGTTAAGGGTAAGGACAAATTCTATTAAGTGAGTGAGGGTGTCTGGTTGGGCCTGCAGGAGAGGATGAAGCGGAGGGGTTTTAGGCCATTTGTGTGGGGGATACAAGTGTATAGGGATTGGATGTCCATAGTGAAGATGAGGTGTTGGGGTCCAGGGAATTGGAAGTCTTGGAGGAGATGGACGGCACAGGTGGTCCCAGATGTAGGTGGGGAGTTCATGGACCGGAAGGAAAAGACAGTGTCAAGGTAAGCGGAGATGAGTTCAGTGAGGCAGGAGCAAGCAGAGACAATGGGTCATCCGGGGCAGTCAGGTTTGTGGGTTTTGGGAAGGAGATACAAACAGGTGGTGCAGTGTTGGGGAATGACAACACCTTCAGGTCACCAACTGTTCTAACTCCCTCTCCCACTCCCTGGGTGACGTGTCCATCCTGAACCTCCTCCAATGTCACAATGACACCACACGCAAACTGGAAGAGCAGCTCCTCATATTCTGCCTTGGGAGCCTACAGCCCGATGTCCATCTTCTCTCCCACCTATCCGCCCCACCCATCCCACTGGCCAATCCCCACCACTGCCTACCTGAACTCACCTATCACCACCCCACCTACCTTCCCCAGTCCCACCCCTCCTCTCTCTATTTATTTCCCAGCTCCCTTCCCCCTCCCCATTTCTGAAGAACGGTCCCAACCCAAAATGTCAACTTTCCTGCTCCTCTGATGCTGCCTGGCCTGCTGTGTTCCTCCAGCTCCACAACTGTGTTGAACAATGGCTTATGCTTGTTCCTATATTCCTATGGTATGTGCAGAAGAAACCAGGCTGAGAAATAAGAGGCTGTAATGGAGATGTTAATAGAATGCAAGGCCAGGAGAAAGATAGTGGTTAAATTAACTGCTACCAATTCACAGGAAACTGAAGTCAGCAAACAAGCAAAGTGCAAACATTGTATAATCTAGAAAAGGCCCTCAAACTGTAAACATTGAAGAAAATGTATTACAAAGGGGAAAATTTAATCATTTATTTCGATCCCATAAACAAACACAAGTACAGAAAATGTTTATATAGCAGTTTTAGCACAATGAACCACCTCAAGATGCTTCAAAGCAGCATTATAAAATAATCTGGTACTGAGGAGGTTTTAGAACAATGGCCTTTCAGCAGAACCATTGTAATGATGGATCATCGATCTGAAACATTCATCTCCCAACATGTGGTCTAATCTGCTGAGTACTCCCAGCATTTTCATTCTTATTTTGTTTCAGTGGTGAGCACTTACCGTTTTTCCTTCTGCAGCACTCATAAAAGCATAGAGTGCAAACTGTCAACCATCTCGTTTCTCCCTGGGTCTGAATTCGGCCGGTTCCTGCAACTAAGGAGAGATCAAATAAAGATTTTTCTTGTAGTTTCAAACGTTACTGAGGTGTAGCCTTGTCAAGGCGGGATGTCAATTTTATCAGCATTGCAGTAGTAGTCTTGTGGCTCACTGTTGAGTTTGGTAAAGGTTAAACTACATCTATCTTGGCAGCATCTTCTTTGTGGTGTTCTCTCTTCCTGTGCACAGACAACACAGATAGGGTCTTGTTTAATTTTGTGGATTGTGGCAGACATCACATCATAAAATCTTCAGAGAATCTCACAGCTGTATTCTCATGTCCTGAACTGCACGAAATCATGTCTAAAACAAAAACAGTCTGAACTATGTTAGAAAATAACTTAATAACAAACTTTTAAGGCAACCTCCAGAGCAAAAACTTCAGAAAATCTCATGACAGAAAGAAAATGGTGTGGAATCGGAGATGGTGCCACTGCAGATATGCAACTCCTGGGATTAACATGGCTATATAAAAACAAGACCTGGAAGCAGGAGCAGGCAATTTAACCCCTTGAACCTGCTCCATCATTTGACACAATCGCGGCTGATTTTATCTCGGCATGAATACCACTTTGTTGCCTGCTCTCCATAACTCTTTAACCTGTTACTAACTTAAAATCTATTGCTTCCTTAAATTTACTCAATGTCCCAGTATCCCCCACGCTTCACAGATTCATGACCTCTAGAGAAGTAATTTCTCCTCATCTCTATTTTAAATCTGCTACCCTTTATCCTAAAACTAACCTCTCATTCTAGATTACCTCACATGAGAAAACATCCTTTCTATCTCTATTTGCATCTTACATACCTTAATTAGATCTCGTCATTCTTGCAAACTTCAGAGAGTACAGGCTTCAACTGATCAATCTCTGTTCATAAGACAAACCCCTCATCTCTGGAATCAATCTAGTGAATCTCCTTTGAACTATCGCCAATGCAGTTATATTCCTTTTCAAGTAAGGCAACCAAAATTGTACAGTTGCAGCAACACTTCCCTACTTAGCAACAAGTACCAATAAACTCCATTTGCCTTCCTTATTGTCTGCTATGTCTGCGTACTATTCATGTATGAGGACAGCCAGATCCCTCTACACCGAAGCACCAAAGGTTTCTCTCCATTTAGATAATAAGTTGTCTTCTTATTCCTTCAAACAAAATTGATAACTTCACACGTACCCTTTATCCTTAATCTTTATCTGGCAAATTTTGACTCATTCACCTATCCTATCCATATCTATTTGTAATTTTTAAAATTTCTTCATTGCAACTTAGTTTCCTACCTATTTTAGTGTCATTGGCAAGTTTGGCCATATTACTTTCTGTGCTTGCATTCAAGTCATTCATCCTCATTGTAAATAGTTGGGGCCCCATGGACCGAGCCCTATAGCATCCCACTAGTCACATCTTGCCAACAAAAAGAGGAGCCATTTATCCCGACTCTCTACCTCCTGTTATGTGAAGGGACAATATCTATGAAAGCCAAACAAAAAACAGAGAATGCTGGAGAATCTCAGCAGGTTTTTGATTTGATTTGATTTTTTATCGTCACATGTACCTAAGTACAGTGAAAAGTTTTGTTTTTCATGCAGTACAGGCAGATCATAACATACAAGGATATACAGATCATTGGGTGATTGAACAGAGCGATCAACATTAGATTTGAAATTTAAGAAGTCCATTCAGCAGTCTAATAACAGCAGAGAAGAAGCTGTTCTTGAATCTGTTGGTACATGTGTTTAAACTTTTGTATCTTCTGCCTGATTGAAGAGGTTGGAAGAGAGTATTACTGGTGTGGGAGGGTCTTTGATAATGTTGACTGCCTTTCTGCGACAACAAGAAGTGTATATGGAGTCAATGGATGGGAGGTTGGCTTATGTGATGATCTGGGCTAAGTTCACAACTTTCTGTAGTTTCTTACAATCCTGGGCACAGCAGTTGTTGTACCAAGCAGTTATGCATCCAGACAGAATGCTTTCTATGGTGCAGAACGCTTAGGAGCATTGACATACAGAGGGATCTGGGCCTACAAGTCCACAGGTCCCTGAAGGTGGATAATGTGGTCAAGAAGGCATATAACACGCTTGCCTTCATTGGCCTGGGCATTGAGTATAAAAGTTGACAAGTTATGTTACAGCTGTATAAAACTTTAGTGGGGCCACATTTGGAATATTGTGCGCATTTCTGGTCACCACACTACAGGAAGGACGTGAAATGCTTTCGAGAGGGTGCAGGGAAGGTTTACTAAGATATTGCCTGGTCTGGAGGGTTTTGGCTATGAGGAGAGATTGGATAAACTCAGTTTGTTTTCACTGAAAAGATGGAGGCTGAGGGGCAACCTGATGGATGTCTACAAAATTATGAGAGGCATAGATAGGGTGGATAGTCAGAGGCTTTTTCCCAGGATAGAAAGGTAAATTACAAGAGGGCACAGGTTCAAAGTGAGAGGGGGAAAGTTCAGATAAAAATTGCGGGGTAATTTTTTCATACAGAGGGTGGTGGGTGCCTGGAATGCACTGCCAGTGGAGGTGGTAGAAGCAGGCACGTTAGCAACATTTAAGGCATATCTTGATAGACACACGAACAGGATGCAAACAGAGGGATAGAAACCCCACATGGGCAATAAGTAGCGGGTCTATATAAGGATTAGAAATCGGCAAAGGATTGGTGGACCAAAGAGCCTGTTCCTGTGCTGTATTGTATTGTATCCGTCAAACACAAACATTCAAAGAATTCATCAACATCTTTAAAATATTTGTTTGCAAGGGTTTAAAAATACTGAGCTATTCCATGTTGTATCTGATGTCATGGGGAAAAGGTGAATAGGGTGAATTTTAAATTAGGATTACTTTCCCCTTCGTAAGCCTGAGATATTCAGGTTTTGGTTGATTTACTTCTTTTTCTGTTTAGTCCCACCACCTATTGAGGTAAGCCAAAATATGGTCCTGGCTTTTAGATCTCTGATATGTGAAATAAAACAACAGCAAAAACCTTTAAAAGAAATCAAAAATTGGCTTTATCAGCAAAACATTCAAAATGCAGGGGAATTGCTTCATGGCACCATCTACACATACATGCAATCAGGAAATAATGGAAAACAGGAGAAGAGGGGAAACAAATCATAAGTTTTGTTCAAACCAGACGTGTTACAAGTCAGTTCACCTGAGTTACAACCTCCTGGATATCTGTACCCAACAATAGCATGAAACAAAACAAAAATTGCTGGAAAATCTCAACAGGTCTGGCAGCATCTGTGGATAAGAATAAGAGTTGACGTTTTGGATCCAGTGACCCTTCTTCAGAACTGTTTTTAGGAAGGGTCACTGGACCCAAAACACTAACGCTGATTCTTCTCCACAGATGCTGCCAGACCTGTCGAGATTTTTCCAGCAATTTTTGTTTTTGTTTCAGATTTCCAGATTCTGCGGTTCTTTTTTGTCGAATAATACTTTACTCAGTGAGCTGGCCCCATTGTTTACCTCCTCGCAGGTAAAACACAGGCTGCTTTCCAGCCAGCAACTTAGAAACAGAGATAGAGGGTCCAATTAAAGCTGGAGTTCTGCTGACCCTCTGGAGGTCAAATAGCACCTGAGTTAGAATCCCTGAATTGAATACATATTCAATGCAACAGGCTCAGCTTTCAGTCATGTAATACAAGCATTTCAGATGTTGAGAATCCATCTCAATAGGCTAATTTGGAAATTGTCAATAGTGAAACTTTACCTCCACCCACTAGAGTTCCCATTATAAAGGTGAAGATGCAACTATAGAAGCATTAGCATCCATTTTATCTGAATGGCATTTGAGGTTTCTCTTTGTTCAAAGCTGGAAAAAGACAGATGGCTTGTCTCTAAATCATTTTGTATCAGAAATTGCTGGAAAAGCTCAGCAGGTCTGGCAGCATCTGTGAAGGAAGAAACAGAGTTAACGTTTTGGGGTCTGAGGAAGGGTTGCCAGACCCAAAGTGTTAACTCTGTTTCTTCCTTCACAAATGCTGCCAGACCTGCTCAGCTTTTCCAGCAATTTCTGTTTTGTTTCCTGATTTACAGCACCCGCAGTTCTTTTGGGTTTTTTTTCTTTTTGTATCAGCTCTAGTTGGATTATCTGTACAATGTAGGGGTCAGAAGCTTCTAGAAATATGAGTGACAATGCCAACAATTTTTATGAGGGAGAAAATAAACTTTGAGGATAAACTTGCAAGTAATATTAAGGCGTAGAGCAAGAGCTCCTTTAAATATATAAAAGAGGATGAGAAATGCTCACGTGAACCCAGCCCCTTTAGAAACCGAGGTTGGCAAAACAATAATGGGAACGAAGAAATGGCAGACAAGTTGAATAAATACTTTGTATCAATCTTCATTGTAGAAAACATTAACAATATTCCAAAAATACTGAATAATCAAGGGGCAAAAGGAGGGGACAAAAAACACAATCACTATCATGAGAGAAAAAGTATTAGGGAAGCCAATGGAGCTAAAAGCTGATAGATCCCCTGGACCTGATGGGATGCATTCTAGAATATTAGTTGTAGAGATAGCGGATGCACTGGTAGTAATCTTCGAAGAATCTTTAGATTCTCAAAAAAATGCCACAGTATTGGAAAACACAAACAAAAAGGAAAGACAAAAAACATAGGCCACTTAGTTTAACATTTATTATTGGTAAAGCATCAGTCTATTAATAAAGGATGTCATAGTAGAACATTTCAAAATAGCTTCATGAAGAAAGAATTCATGCCTGACAAATTTATTAGAACTTTCTGAAGAGGTAGCAAGAGGATAAAGCGGAACTAATAGTTGTAATATGTTTGGATTTCCAGCCGACATTTGATAAGGTACCACATGTTAGGCTACTTAATAAGATCCCAAGGTGTTGGTGGTGGTATATTAACATAATAGAGGATAGACTGGCTAACTGACAGAAAAAAAAAGAATTGGGATAAGGGAGATATTTTCAGGATGGTAACCTGTAACTAGTGGAATGTGGATGAGAAAACTAGTTCCCACAATACCAAAATAATTATCTCCAGTAAAAATATCGATGAAGGGTCTAGGCCCGAAACGTCAGCCTCTCTGCTCCTATGATGCTGCTTGGCCTGCTGTGTTCATCCAGCCCTGCACCTTGTTGTCCAGTAGATATATGTCCACTTATTTGTTTTACCATACATGGACACATATTTCATGCTTCTTGGTGTAATTATGTAATGGACAACACGGAAGTAGGCATGTGCAGTCAGCACATGAAAATTTTAAGAGATTTTGAACAACTTTCCAAGTACACATGTAAGCATGATAGAATTAAGTAATGGTATAAAATGTTTGTGTTCCAGCATTGTAAATGTATGATGTAATACTTTAGCTAACTGAAGTGCCTTTCAGATTTTACAAATTATTTCACTGCTAACATATGACTTACAATAAAGCCTGTTAAAAGTGATTTTGTTTTGGAGTGTTTTTATTGAAAAATTCCAAACTAAATTGCAAGCGTCAAGTTGTAACAAAAACTAAATTTTATAAATGAGTCCAACTCGCACAACTTTACCTCACTCAAGCAAAACTTTGTGATGTTTGATTCAAAGAATGAAAAAGAGTACAGAAGGAACAACAGTTCATTAGGATTGATACATTTCAGGAGACCAATCAGCCCATCATACTAGCTCTTTGCTTTTTCCTCCCTCCAACATACAGATATCCAAATTAATCCAATTCTCTTGCTCCTTTTCCATTGCCTGTAAATATTTTCCCTTGAAGTACCTATCCCATTGTATCTTAAAATAATTCTTCTGAATTTGCTTTCACTACACTTTCATGGCAACTACTTATTTCATAATGTTACCCCCAGTTCTTCTGCCAAAAACCTGAAATCTAAGTACTATGGTTAGCAACTCTACTGCCTTCGAAGTTTCTCCTCATCAAAGCTGTTCATGATTTTGCATACCTCCGAAATTTTCTCACAACCTTTCCTATTACAACAATAACTAATTTTCCTGGCAGGATGTGTGGAGAGAAAGCAGAGTTAACATTTCAAGTCCATTGGACTCAAAACATTAACTGTTTTCTCTCCACAGACGTTGTCAGGCCTACTGAGTTTCTCCAGCAATTTCTGTTTTTGCTTCAAATTTCTAACATCTGCAGTTCTTTGTTTTATTTTAACTATTTTTTTCTGTTCGCTTCAGTTTTGTGATATCGCTGGTACATTCTTACAAGACTCATCAGCATTGTCTTGAAAACCTTGACATCCTTTCAGAAGTGTGGTGCTCAGAATTGAACACAGCACTCCAGCTATAAACTAACTAGTATCTGGGAAAGGTTTTGCATAATTTATTTGGCTTTTCAATCCATTTCTTTATTAATAGAACCAAGGATCTCATTTACCTCTTTATGTAAACAATCTTTTCATCTGGTCCTAGCACCCTCAAAGATTTGTGTACATATAGCCTCAGGCCTCTATTTCTGCTGCCCCTGTTAATTAATCTATTTAGTTCATATTGCCTTTAATTTCTCCTTTGAAACTCTTACTTCAAACAATTGTTAAATTTCATCCACTTGCCTGTCTGTTTCAGCAGTCTGTCTAATGTCCCCCTTAACCTGTACACCTTCATTGTTTACACGTACAATCTACAACTTTCACATCATTGATATACATCAGAAAGAGCAGTGTTTCTAAAATGGATCTATGGGGAAATCAATGCTGCATACCCACTCCCAGTCTGAAACAAACTTCTGTTCACCACAACTCTCTGCTTTCAGTCCCTTAAGTCACTTTGTATCTATGCTGCCACTGACTCTGCAGGCTTTAATTTCAAATACATTATGTGATACTTCGCCTTGTAAAAGAATATCAACCATATTAATCAAACCATTCATCATCTCAATTACTTAAAATAATTTGATCAAGATAGTCAAAGATGATCTGTCAATAGCATTCTTTTGTGTGATTTTCAATCTATTAGCTGATATGTTTGCAAATGCCAATTTATTTTCTCCCAGATCACTGTGTCTACAACTTTCCTCACCAATAATGTTGGCCTAACTGACCAGCTGTTCCTGGGTTTATTCCTTGTCCCTTTTTCAAACAGAGGTGCAAATTTGCAAATGCTCCAACAAAAGCAAGTTCCACACATTGCCTCCAGACTGTCACTGAAAAAAAACAGAAGGACTATAAAAGCATCAAGTTTTCAAACTTCTCCCATAAATATTTTGTGAACTATAGAGAATTAAAAAGTCATTGCAAAAGATTTATTCATTAATAATTTACAACTTTCAGCTTAACATTCTCATATTTTGCAATCAATGCACAGAAGTTAAAACTTTAAAAATTACAATGATATTTCATTGTACATTTAATATTGAAAAGTTGAAACTTACAAAATGTTATATTTTCACTAGGTTTGACCTTGAAGACATTAGTTTATCTGTTTAGACAAAAGATTACAAAGCTTACTAAACCTTTCACTTCAGGCAGTCAATGTAAAAAAAATGCCGATAAAACGGTGTTTGATGCAGTCATAACATGTAATAGATATGGCTTTCATGAACTAATATACAGGTCACGAATATATAATAAATTAAAAGGTGTTACAAATAGAACATAATGGTTAAAATAAAACTGGGCTACTATCTGAAATAAACAGTAGTTGGACATGTTTCAATGTGAAATTCTTTCACCATATACTGGTTTAGTATTAAAAGAACAAACACAATGTAAGCTTCTTTTAAATAAATGTTCTTTCACATAAAAACCACTGAGTTATATTTATAATACATGTAATAGCCCTTTAATCATCAGAGTCTTCAGCTTGATCTCGTGCACGGAAAGGTAATGTGGTCTGTCCTCTTTCAGGATCATGCATGCGAAGGATTCTAATTAAGCGACTTGAAGGCAAAGAACTGAAACAAAACAAAAATATATAGTTACTGAAACTCCAAGAGTATAAAGCAATTCCCTTTAATTAATGTTGCCATTGTCACCTTCAGACTCCAGCATGACAAACGGTCTTATCATGAACTTTCCATCCTTCACTATCTGTAAACTGATCTCATGCAACATTTTGTTGGCCTTACCCAATCCTACGTCAAGGCTCATTTACCCATTACTATTCTCCCTAAAGGTGTACATTGTTTTCTGGTGTTTAATTTTAAAATTCCTTTGCATGTATTTAAATTCTTTTTGGGGTGGAATTGATGGTGCCCCAATGATTATTATCTCCTGTTATGAAACAAAGGAGATATTAACAATTTTTCCCTATGAAATATTAGGAGAATCAAGACAGAATGAATGAATCTAAACTGTGTTTCCTCAAGAAGCTGGTGCAGTTACAGTAACACAGTGACAGTGCAGTAAGTTCCTAAAAACTGCAGGACGTTGACAAATACAAAAGAATGCTAACTTCAGGAATAATTCCTTGGAATGAAAAAGGTCCAAATTTAAGCAGTATTTAGATACTGGCCTCCTTGTGTAAATGTCTATGAATCTATAAATTTGAGGATACAGAGCTAATGGAATCAAAGCAAATGTGACTGGAAGCAAACTTGCACGGTATCTGACCATTCCCTTCTCCGCTTTCTCTCTCGTTTGAAGATCTATTGAATATTGTTAAACCAATTGCTAGTACTCAATGTACAAAGAAACATTGTTTTTTAGTGCCCCCACCCCCCATTGCTCATTGATGTGGACAGCTTTTAGGCTAGGGTCACCATAGCAAAGGGAATGATATTATTTACTAGTGCAGTGACAACTAACTGGATTTGCAATAGCAAAGGCACATGAGAAATGATTTACGTAGCATTTAAATCAAAAGATTCTTTTGAAAAGAACTTTAAACTGAAAGTGGTTCCCATCTTACATAACTACAAGAATGAGCTGAAACCTCTGCAAATTGAAGAAGGGAGTTTAACAAATTTGACTACTAGCTAACCATTCAGGGTTTGATCTTTTACGTTAATTATAGAGTTCATAGGCTTACCAGACTGATTCCTGGGATTGCAGGAGTGACATATGAAGAAAGACTGGATCAGTTAGGACTATATCCACTGGAGTTCATAAGGATGAGGGGGGATCTCATAGAAACCTATGAAAATCTAACGGGACTAGACAGGGTAAATGCAGGAAAGATTTTCTCAATGACCAGGATCACAGTTTATTGTTATGGGGTAAGCCATTTAGGACTGAGATAAGGAGAAATTTCTTCATCCATAGAGTGACAGACGGTGGAATTTTCTGCCACAGTAAGCAGCTGAGGCTAAAACATTGCATGTTTTCCAGATGCAGTAAGAGATAGGTCTTGGGGTAAAGGGATCAAAGGGTATGAGGAGAAAGCAGAAACAGGGTACTGAGTTGACCAATCAGACATGTTCATATTGAATGGTGGAACAGACCATGATGGATGAATGGCTCACTGCTGCTCCTACTTTCTATGGCACAAACTCCATTCAGTTGAAATGCAGAAATGAACATTATGGTTATTTCTACTGAATGCAAATTTTATAGCTAGAGTTCAAAAGAGTTGCATCTGTCTCAGGCATCTTCACAACTCAAACTTAACATGATTTTGATAGTTGTTTGACCTATAATAGCTCTGCAGCAGAAAAGCCACTTTATGGAAGCGTAGAATTACAAAGACACAGAGATAGATTAAATGAATGGACAAAACTGTGAAAACTGATTTCAATGTAAGAAAGTATGAGGTTGTCACTTTGGGCATAAAAATAATAGAACTGGATACTTCCTAAACAGTGGAAAGTTAGGAGGAGTGGAGACACAACTATTTGGATCATTAAAATGTGATGAACAGATAGTGACAAGCCCACAAGCCACGGAGAGAGATCCAAACCTATGCTTTCTTATTTATTAAAAATGAAAGCTACTAAACCCAGAATGGTCATGTTTGCCGCTTCGAAAAATTTCCAACACTAGTCAAAAGCCAGCTCAGAATCTATCTGGACATTACCGTAAAATCCACACAAAGGACCAACAAACCACATATCCACCGCAGCCAGTCCTGATCAAAGAAAACCATTGTAACTCATTGTGGCTGAAATAGTGTGACTAGTGAATGGCAGTTAACAATATAACACAAAGGTTTTGATAAGAGACATAGAAACCACCTAGTTAAGTTGAACTGCCCATTCAAGGAAGCCTGTCACATGGCTAGAAAATTCTCAAAAAATAAAATCTTTGAGCTATTTTCAAATATTAAAGGAGAATAGGTAGTTGGATAGTGGGAGTGGAGCTCTATGACTCAGGAGCAGATTCTGAATATTAGAGTCAGACCATCCAGAAGTGACAGTAGGAAACCCATCTACAATGAAGGATGGTAAAGAGTTTGGAAAGCTTTCCTACAAATCAGAACTAATGCAAGGTGAATTGCAAATTTTAGATCTGAAATTTTGTTGAAGGGCAAAGCGATGTGAAATTAGGTCACAGCTCTCACTTAATGATAGATCAAACTCAAAGGGCCAAATTGACACATGCCCCAATCAAATACAAACAAATGTTAACTTCAATTATATATTAATTACTTTAAATGGAAATATGCAAATTCATGCATGAATAGAATACATACCTCATGTTTTGTGGTGTAAGAAAGATGAACTGGCGATAACGCTGGGAACTTGCCACTTTGAGCATCATGTCCATAGAAATTCTTCTATTAACCATATCCTGCAATTGAACAAGAATCCTTTCATTTTCTATGGTCAAATGTATTTCACTGAAAATCTTTCCTGAAGACTGAATGAAGTAATTAGTTAGCTTTAATCTGTAGTAACTGTACTTTAAAAATCTAGGTAGATTCCATACATCAAGGATAAGGTAGATTTGTCAACTGTTGAAAAAAACTACAGACAGGCTGACTTTGAAGAGCCAAAGAAACAACAAACATTTCTGCTCCTGTGCTAGAATCTCAGGTCCCAAGAGAGCATGTCCCAAACCAGAACTGATGGCAAAGCAACTTGTATTTATAGCACAATTAAGGCAAATATCAAATTGTAAATCTTTACAACAGATGCCAATGGCAGACAGTATGAGTGCGGGAAAAGCCTGGTTGTCATGTAAAAGAAAGAAAATTGGAGCCTCTACTATCACTATTCCTAGTTTCAAGCTACAAAATGCATGTAAAAGCATAAGTTGCTACTGCAACTTCTGAATCCTTTGGGGGCCAGTAGGCTCAGTTGGATGGATGACCAGTGTGGATCAAGGTGTTAACAGCACCAGATCCAGCTTGGATAGATTCAGGACCTGCTTCCTTGCCTACTTCTGACAGAGATAGCAAAGCCAGTGGGTTCAGATTTGCATTCAGCAAGGAATCCAAAAAGAAAAAATAGTCGCGGTCTGGTAAGTTAAGTTTCTAAGTTAAATGTTGTTAGTTGTAATAAATGTTACTGTTACAATACTAATTAGTTGAAAGATTAATTAGCCTAGGCATAAGCGTACCATATAAACATCAAACTCATCCAAACAACGGAAAGGAGACTCCATGGTATCCCATAGCGAAAGGATAAAACACACAGTCGAGAATGAACGTTCACCACCAGAAAGGGATCTCATATCACTGAGCGCTGCCTTGTCTCCCTCTCCGGGCTGAACCTTTAATAAGAGATTTTCAATTGGGTCAAATACAAATAAATGCAGCAACAAAAAATACTAGAAGAGAACCAATTTAATTCTACATGAACGCTTGCCAGCAGCTCAAAATTTGAGCAAAATGGATAACAAAAGTATATCGAACAACATAACTCCTGCCAAGGAGCATAAAATAACGCACCAAAAAAACTTCAATTTTGCTTGGCGTTTCAAAGATTGCTGTTCAATTAACAGGATCAATATTTTTTCAAAATTCTACAGGGTAGATGCAAAATATAGTTCTTCATAACCTGGCAAAAATCATAGGAATAGTTTCAAATGTGTTATGTTAGTTCTGTCATGTGGCTTTTCATTGACTAATGTAATTTTGCTAATAATGAAATATTTACATATGCAAAATGTTAAATGGTGACATTTAGGTGTTGCTGCTCATTGTTTATTTAATGTTTGCATTTCAACAAAATGCATTTATTCCTGAATAACTTCCTTGATTATTAATAGTTTGCTTTATTAATTATTGTTCTTCCTTTTGTGTTTTGTCAATTTCACTCCAAGAAGTATTCGAAAACTGAATACTTACATTTGGCTCTGTATTGCATTGAGCACTTTACACTATCAGCTATTTTATCCATACTGTATTTTGTCTCAGTTAGGACTGGCTAATGACTAAAAAGCTCTTAACAGTCCATCAGCATCATTCCCTTAGCTTCACAATTAGAAACATCAGATTTCATGAATGTTGAATGGAAATATAGGGCACAAGAACTGTGTGCAGTTTGAATCACCCTGTTATAGGAAGGATATTATTAAACTGGAGAGGGTTCAGAAAAGACTTACCAGAATATCGCCAGGAATAGAGGATTTGAGTTATAAACATAGGCTGAATAGGCTAGGACCTTTTCTACTGGAGCTTAGGAGGTTGAGGGGTGACCTCATAGAAGTTTATAAAATCATGAGGAGGAATAGATAAGTTGAATAGCAAAGGTCTTTTCCCTAAGATGGGGAAGTTCAAAATTAGCAGGCATATTTTTGAGGTGAGAGGAGCAAGATTTAAAAAGGACACGTGCAGCAACTTTTTGTTTTACACAGAGTGGTTGGTACGTGGAATGAACAGCCAGAGGAAGTGGCGGATGCAGGTACAGTTACAATGCTTTATAGACATTTCGAAAAGTACTTTAACAGGAAAGGTTTGGAGGGATATGATCAAAACACAAGCAGGTGGGACTGGTTTAGTCTGGGAACATAGTTGGCATGGACTCGTTTGACTAAAGGATCTGTTTCCTTGTTATATGATTCTATGACATCCATGATTCTCTAAAGTAAACATTGCTCTATTACGTCTAAGTTCCTCTTTTTTCCTTATACTGACCTGTCCCAGAATCACTTGGGCTACTAATCACCATTAATGATTTTTTTTTAAACACTCCAGTGGATGGAAGGGAGGACAAGAATGGTCCCATGTCTGATGAGTCATTTTACTAGCTCAGACCCAAATAAAGGATGTTTGGGAGTTTTCTACGGTTTGAGATTCCAATCAACAGCCTTGGTAATCAGACCATTACTAAATCTGTTACATGCAGATGGAAGTTGTCCCCAAGACAACACACAAGGAAAATGCTTAGTTTCTTTTCAAATGTATTGCTATGACAAAATTCAGACATCATGAAGCACTTTGTAAAGTTAAAATTCTAACTACAATCTTCAATATTTCTGAACACTGTATAACTATTTTTTCCAGATTTATGGAGATACCTTCTCTAAACAAAAAATATGTTGTAAATAACTCACAGCAATTGAAAGTGTTGCATTCTTATGATCGAAACTCATTTTCCCATGGTAACCTCGCTGGGAGAGCATTGAATCAAAATAATACTTGCAGCGAAGAGAAATGTATCTATTTAAATCAAGCATAAAATGAAAACAATATTACTAAAAGTTCCATAATACAGCAGACGCAACACATTTAGGCCTTCATTCAGTCCTCTCATCAGCATATTAACTGATTTCTAGAAATATAGTTATGAGTTTCAGAAACATAATGGTTTCAAGAATTTAGGGGAGTCAACAAAGTACAATCACAAGGAACTCGTTTCTGGATGTTATTACATTCTCCACCCATTCTGAGTTCTAGCAAATTGTCTTCAGGAGATCCTACAGAATATGTGAAAAGTCAAGCAAAAAGGTACATGAGATACACAAAGTGAAAATTGAGTCTTTAATATTGCACAAAGTTTATCAGACAGGCAATTAAAGACAGCTGATACAGAAAAGTATCAAAAGTATAATTAAAGTGGCAAAGTGGATTTCTTTCAAAATAATCTAGTGCAGTACATGATTTCCTAAAGTTGCATAGGTAGATCTTACACTGCAGATATCAATGCTTGCTGAAGCATAACAAAAGCAAGGCAATTTGGTCTAGTTTCATCTCTTCACATACTAGTGAAGACATTTTCCACATTAAAAGATGCTACATAAATGCAACTTGTAGAGTTAGCTTGGTGTTTACTTCCTTAGCTGTCACACTTAAGGTGGACCACTTCAATTCACAAATTATGCTTGAAACATTTTTCAAATACAAGTACCCATTTGGGCAATTTAAAGGAACCAAATCACTTAAGTCAAACACAAATACAACTCCATGTCTGATCAAAAACTCTTCAACAGCATCTGGCATTTATACATTGGCATTAAATGTAGTGTGACAATTAAGGAAGTAAAACCAAGCTGTACGAAGCCTTGGTGAGACCACAGCTAGAATACCATGTGTAATTTTGGTCTCCTTATCTGAGGAAGGTTTTCTTACTATAACAGAAGCACAATAAAGGTTTAAGTTCGTTTCCTGAAAGGCAGCCTTGACATATAAAGAGAGGTTGAATCGTTTAGGATTATATTAACTGGTGTTCAAAAGAATGAGCAGGGACCTCAAAGATACCTATAAAATTCTATCACGGCTAAACCTACAGGGGTGTCCAGAACCAGGAGTCACAATAAGACTATAGGGAAAAACTGTTTAGTACTGAGATGAGGAGAAATTTCTTCACGCAAAGTGGGTGAGCCTGCGGAATTCACTATCAAAGAAAGCAGTTGAGGCTAAAACATCATATGGTTTCAAGGTGCTGGATGTAGCACTTGGGCTAAAGCAATGAAAGGATGTATGCAGAAAGGGGAATAGGCTATTGAGGCGGATGATCAGCCAAGATCACAATGAATAGTGGAACAGGTTTGAAGGACCAAATGTAATACTTCCGCTCATCTATTTTGGAAAATTTCCCAAGCCGTTTTGTAGCCATATAATTCCAGATTTATTGACTGAATCTAAATTTCAACATCTCGTGGGTGTCGAGCATCAGACTGTGTTTTGTAGATTACTGTTCAGCAACACTGTCACTCTGCCCATCTCCCCAAGAATCAGTGGCTGGGGTGGGGTTGAGTTGATAGTCAAGAGTGCCAAGTCGATGGCAGAGGCTGAGGATAACATTTTGATCTTACCAGCATTTAGCTGGAGGAAACAGCAGTTCATCCAAGACAGGATGTGGAATAAGCTTTTGCACAGCAATGACTGCAGAAGTAATAGGGAGCAGATGGATGCAAGGTAACAGACACATGCACTTGTATATGGGGGAAATTGCTATTAAAAGAAAATATTGGCTTGAGTTTTACATACTTTCATAATAAATACAAAATAAGGAATAAATACAAAATAAGAAATAAATACAAAATAAAGAATAAATACGTTTGGACAAAGCAATGGTTAGGGCACAGTCATGTACTGAATTACATTACAGAAATGATACTGGAAAGACGGGCACATATGCAGTGCACATTCATGTGATGGTGTCAGAGATTAAGTATTACAGTTATAATGCACACTTGAAAATGAGGCTGTAGTCATTGCTCAATGAGCAAACATCAGCTTTAAGTATGATGAATCCTAGAAACATTAGGTCAGTCCTAAACAGGAACATCTGAGCATTCACCTTTCTAGACGACATAAATATTACTAAATAATGACTTTAATTGACAATCCAGCTCATGAATAAATTGTAATGCATCAACACGTTTTGTAAGAAAACATGTGGTCATGTTTTTGAAGAATACTCTAGTGTGGAATTGAAGAATTCATAAAGAAAAATGTTTCAAGGAACAAAACGTTGCACAAGCTGCTGGCAGTATGAATCTGCTACTCAACTAATCAGAGCAACAAGTGCAGACTGCTGGACTAGGTTAACACTATGGCATTTTGTTCAATATGATAAATGAACAAGGATTGAGATCCATTGGCAACTTTTTTTCTTTATTCAATCACGAGATGAGGGCGTCGCTGGCTAGGCAGCATTTATTGCCCATCCCTAATTGCCCAGAGGGCAGTTCAGAGTCAACCACATTTCTGAGAGTCTGAAGTCACATGTAGGCCAGACCAGGTAAGGATGGCAGTTTCCTTCCCTAAAAGGACGTTAGTGAACCAGATGGGTTTTTCCAACAATTGGCAATGGATTCACGGTCATCATTAGACTTTTAATTCCAGATTTTTTTTTTCAATTCAATTTCCTCCATCTGCCATGGTGGGATTTGAACTCGGGTCCTCAATCCAGAGACCCAAATAATGTTCTAACAGTCCAGCGATAATAACACTAGGCCATTGCCTCCTTGCAATGATTATGATAAACAACAGGAACTAAGGAACTAAAACAGAAGAATGAACTTTAGGGATGCTTGGAGTGTGGTCAAGTGTTTTAAGTGTGACTTGAAACATCATTACGAAATGAATTCTCCCAGGTGAACAGTGAGGTTTTCAAAATTACACACAATATGCAAGAAGATGGTGGTGATACTGTTCAGGCAGAGACAGCTGCAGTAGTTACAAGAAACATCAACCCAGTGATGAATTTTTTAGTTGCTGGCTCATTCAATTGAACAGTGTTGGACAGCAGATGCATTTGCACAATGAATGGAGTGAATTGGTTAAAATGTTACCAAGATGAACAGTTACCAATTTTTTCAGTTTCAAGGCATACTTCAGTGAAACAAACCATTCCATGGCACACACCCACCTTTTTCAGCTGAATTAATTGCTTATAAAGTTCACATTTATTTGCATTTATTATTCCGGGGTTGGAATGTAGACACCGAGTGATCAGTGAGGCTCTGCATAGCCTCCTCAGTCCTGCCAGCTATCCATGATGCCATCATCCAACCACATGTGCCCGAATTGCAGCGGTTACCGTGCAGTCCAGTCACGGAGAGGAAGCCTGGTTGCTGGAAGTGGCAGCTGCCCTCAACCGTGTGGGGCTCAGGTAAGATCGTAAGCCAAACTCTCTCCCCAGATTCAGCTCTAACAAAAGGGCCAGCACTTCATGCTGCACCTCCCACACTCACCACGTTCTCAGCTCCACTCTGGCTCAGCGCAGATTACCACAGTAGCAGCGGAGCACAAAAGGTCCAAGGTAACAGATACATTGGCACCGTGCAGAGTGACAGCACCATGTGGCTGAGAACTGGCCCATGCCTCCACCCTGCATACTGAGTCATAGAATTATACAGTACGGAAACAGACCCTTTGGTCCAACTCGTACATGTCGATCAGATATCCGAAACTGATTTACTCCCATTTGCCAGCATTTTGCCCATAATATCTCTAAGCCCTTCCTATTCATGTACCCATCCAGATCCCTTTTAAATGTTGTAACTGTATCCACCTCCATCACCTCCTCTGGCAGCTCATTCGACACATGCACCACCCTCTGCATGAAAAAGTTGCATGTACTACACTCAATTACAGTTTTAGTTCTCAGTTTCCATGGATCCCCACAAGCACCATAAAGATAGGTGGATAATATGCCTTGGTAATATGTTTGTGCACAACTGTCAATTCAGATGAAGAAAACTACTCAGCCATGCTATAGGTTAAGTATCATCCTGGCAGCTTTACTGGAACAGCATAAATGAACAGACTGCTAATTGAGGGATGAAATGCACATGAAAAACAATTAAAACTGAATCAACTTAATAAATTACCTCCTGAATATTTTATATGCCTTGTGCCTTTCCTCCATTATTTTATCAAGCAGCTGCATGAACTTCTTCAGGTTTTTGACCTGGCTTTTGACATTCTTGTATGTTTCCAAAACATCAAAGTACTGCCTGTTCAAAATAACAATGAAAAATTAAATCAATACAAGCAAAACATAAACTCTCAAGAATACAAGTTTATTTGAACAGAAATCAGAACACAAAGCATATCAATCTATGCAAGTTGGATTTGTGATTTAAATTCATGAATGTACAAAATTGGCCAAAAATCTTCTTGCAATTAAAAGACGTTGCAACTTAAAATTCAAAACACAGACTTGTGAATATTTGTCAACAGTAATTTTAGTTTTGTGTTGTAGAAATGTTGATGTTGATTTAAGCTCTGGCCCTTAAATATGATCATCAGTCTGGATTATTATTTTATTACCTAAAATTCTGCAGAACACATTCCTTTGCTTCTGCAATTTTTCATTTTCCCTGACTCAAATACCTAACAATTAGGTAACTTGGTCATAGGCTTTGCTGAAATTTTGAGACTTGTCCACCATTTTCTCTTTAAAAAAAGCTTAGCCATACAAACTACCTCCCCTAGAAGGTTACCAATATCAAATATTGACAGCTATGCAATTCTATAGTTTGTGCCCTATATCCATAAACTCTTGTTGTAATATCTGAAATTGTGCCAACCACACTGCACATGAAAATATCTGACAACAGCAATGAAACAAGGACCAGACAATCTGCTCTTGTTGGTTTAGAAATTAATATTAGCCTGAAACCGAGATGTACCCTATAGGGAAACGCTGAATAGGCTTGGGCTATTTTCCCTGGAACATTGGAGGCAGAGGGGTGATCTTATAGAGGTTTATAAAATCATGAGGAGCATGGATAGGGTAAATAGGCATGATCTTTTCCTAGGGATGCGGGAGTCGAAAACTAGATGGCATAGGTTTAAAGTGAGGGGAAAGATATAAAAGGGACCCAAGGGGCGATTTTTTCACACAGAAGGTGGCGCGTGTATGGAACGAGCTGACAGAGGAAGTGGTGGAGGCTGGTACGATTATAATATTTAAAAGGCATCTGGTTGCATATATTAATAGGAAGGATATAGAGGGATATGAGCCAAATGTTGGCAAATGGGACTAGATTTATATAGGGTATCTGGTCAGCATGGACGAGTTAGACTGAAGGGTCTATTTCCGTGTTGTATATCTCTATGACTCTATGCCATTGTTCTTCAAACTGTCCACCTGAGGAGGAAGATGGAGCTTAGATTTTAGTATTTCAGAGACACCACCTGTAACAATGCAGAATTACCTCAGTACTGCAGTGAAAATCAACCTAGATCATGAACTCATGCCTCTGGAATAGAACTTGAGCTTGACTACCTGACGCAAAGGTGCAAATGATATCGATGAACTACAGTTATATAACATCCTATTGGATAAGCATCAGCTTTAGACTGAAGGAAGCAGATTTAGAGATTTTGTTTACATTTGCATCTGCTGGAAAGGGGACTGGGGTGGGTGGCGTGTGTGGAAGAAGAGGTTAAAAAATGTAAACACCAATATAAAAATTCACCCAATACCAAACTTATACTAAAGGCACCTCGAACTTTATATATTATCTGCACATTGGAAACTGTAATACTAAATGTACTTAGCTATATCAGTGTCTTGTAACCTATCAGATAAAAACTACAAAAGGAAACCATGTGATCTAATCATCATAAGGAAATTTTGGGATTCTGACTTTATGCTATTCTGAAAATTTATCTAACATAGCTGTCTAAGATTTTAAACTCAGTGTTGGATTACTCTTATGAATAACTTTGCAATTGTCTGCCTTTAAGAAATTGCAGGGTTAAGGCAAAGTAGCAATTAATGACTGTTAATTTTGCTTTAAAGATGTCAAATTATTTATGTTACTTTACATTGACTTAGAAAGGAAATATATCTGGGTCATATCTTGCCTGAGCAGGATACTTGCTAAAATTAACAAATGTGGGCAAAAACACTTCACCAGAAATTCTGTTAGAATAAAGGTCATATAAGCTGTGATTGCTTGTAGAGTTCAAGAATTAAAAGGTATTTTTAAGAAGAATTTTGATAATGTTAGCGAATAATTACACTATGTGTATCAAAGCATTGCACTTTATTCAAGTCATACACCTTACATTTAATTATAATTCCTGTATGAAGAAATTCATTATATTGCACTGCAAGAGACTGAAAGGATGTCGGTTGACATTTGCAATTCAAAAGACAGACAATATGATGGTCAAACCACAATTGTAGAAATGATACTCTTGCCAGCGAAGTGTGACTTTCAGACAGCAAATTTTGCAAAGACTTGTTATAATAAACAGAATGAATGTGTACATGCGGGCAGGGAAGGATACAATGTATCGATAATGGCATCAATTTGAGCCAATCGTATTAACTATGAAAAACTATAGCCTAATATGGTAAGGTAGTGGTACCCCAAGAATGATAACTAAGTCTCAGACATCACTGATGTGGACTCAAGACTGACTAAGCTCAACAGAACACAGCAAGAGAGAGGACCCCAATCAACTGGAGAATCACGAGATAGTAGGAACTGCAGATGCTGGAGAATCCAAGACAACAAGGTGCAGGGCTGGATGAACCCACTTCCTACAGACAAAGGGGGTAGCCATGGGTACCCGCATGGGCCCAAGCTACGCCTGCCTCTTTGTAGGTTACGTGGAACAATCCCTCTTCCGTACCTACACCGGCCCTAAACCCCACCTCTTCCTCCGTTACATTGATGACTGTATCGGCGCCGCCTCGTGCTCCCACGAGGAGCTCGAACAGTTCATACACTTCACTAACACCTTCCACCCCAACCTTAAGTTTACCTGGACCATCTCTAACACCTCTCTCCCCTTCCTGGACCTCTCTGTCTCCATATCGGGCAACCACCTAGAAACCGATATTCATTTCAAGCCCACCGACTCCCACAGCTACCTAGAATACTCCTCCTCCCACCCACCTTCCTGCAAAAATGCTATCCCCTATTCCCAATTCCTTCGCCTCCGCCGAATCTGCTCCCAGGATGAGGCATTCCACTCCCGTGCATCTCAGTTGTCCTCGTTTTTCAAGGACCGTAACTTCCCCTCCTCGGTGGTCGAGAACGCCCTCAACCGTGTCTCCCACATCTCCCGCACCTCATCCCTCACACCCCGTCCACGCAATAAAAACCAAAAAAGAATCCCCCTCGTCCTCACGTACCACCCCACCAACCTCCGGATCCAACACATCATCCTCCGACACTTCCGCCATCTGCAATCCGACCCCACCACCAAAGACATCTTTCCCTCCCCACCTTTATCCGCTTTCCGGAGGGACAACTCTCTCCGCGACTCCCTTGTCCGCTCCACACTCCCCTCCAGCTCCACCACACCCGGCACTTTTCCCTGCAACCGCAGGAAGTGCTACACCTGCCCCCATACCTCCTCCCTCACCCCCATCCCAGGCCCCAAGAAGACTTTCCACATCAAGCAGATGTTCACCTGCACATCTGCCAATGTGGTATACTGCATCCGCTGTACCCGGTGTGGCTTCCTCTACATCGGGGAAACCAAGCGGAGACTCGGGGACCGCTTTGCAGAACACCTACGCTCGGTTCGCAACAAACAACTGCACCTCCCAGTCGCGAACCATTTCAACTCCCCCTCCCATTCCTCAGACGACATGTCCATCCTGGGCCTCCTGCAGTGCCACAACGATGCCACCCGAAGGTTGCAGGAACAGCAACTCATATTCCGCTTGGGAACCCTGCAGCCCAATGGTATCAATGTGGATTTCACAAGTTTCAAAATCTCCCCTCCCCCCACCGCATCCCAAAACCAGTCCAGCTCGTCCCTGCCTCCCTAACCTGTTCTTCCTCCCACCTATCCCCTCCTCCCACCTCAAGCCGCACCTCCATCTCCTACCGACCAACCTCATCCCGCCCCCTTGACCTGTCCGTCCTCCCTGGACTGACCTATCCCCTTCCTAACTCCCCACCTACACTCACCTTTACTGGCTCCATCCCCGCCTCTTCGACCTGTTTGTTTCCTCTCCACCTATCCTCTCCTCTATCCCTCTTCTATCCGCCTCCCACTCTCTCCCTATTTATTTCAAAACCCCCTTCCCCTCCCCCTTTTCTGATGAAGGGTCTCGGCCCGAAACGTCAGCCTCTCTGCTCCTATGATGCTGCTTGGCCTGCTGTGTTCATCCAGCCCTGCACCTTGTTGTCTTGGAGAATCACGAGCAGTGTTTCAGAGTGAAGAGACTTTTATTTGTTACTTCATTCACAGGATGTGGGCATCTCCGACTATGCCAGCATTTATTGCCCATCACCAATTGCCTTGGAGAAAGTTGTAGTAAGCTGGCTTCTTGAACCACTGCAGTCCATAGGAGAAAAGGCTGTTGGCAAAGAAGTTCTAGGAATTTGACCAGTAAGAATGAAGTAATAGTGATATATTTGCAAGACAGATGGTGTGTTCTTGGAGGGGAACCTCAAAGGTGGTGATATATTTGCCTCTCTTGTCCTTCTAGGTGATAGAGGTTGCAGTGGCAGTGCAAGGGATGCCAATCAAATGAGTCTGTTTGTCCTGAATGGTGTCAAGCTTCTTGACTGTTGATGACTGAACCTCCAACAAGGTAAGTGGACAGTATTCCATCACATTCCTGACTTGTGCCTTGTAGACAGCAGACAGGCATCCGAATCAGGTAATGAATTCCTTGCCGCAGAATTCCTAGCCGCTGACCTGCTCTTAAAGCCACAGAATTTCCATTTCTAATCTAGCTCAGTTTCTGGTCAATGGTATCCTGCAGGATATTGATACTGGAGGATTCATCAACTAATAAGTCACTGAATGCCAAAAATATCAAGAGGAGATGGTTAGATTGTCTCTTATTGGAGAATTTTGCTGGAATTGCCTCCCTAATGGCATTGTGGGTCAACCCACAACAGGTGGACTGCAGCAGTTCAAGAACACAGCTCACCACCGCCTTCTCAAGGGCAACTAAGGACAGGCAATAAATGCTGGCCAGCCAGCAACACCCACGTCCCACAAATGAATAAATTTTTAAAAAATAGATAGTCACTGCCTGGTACTTGTGTGACATGAATGATTTTAAGTATCACAATTTTGTACTTATTGTGACTAACTTAAATTCTGAGGCGTGTGCCAATATTTATTCCCAGTAGTCTCACTAACCACAATAACTTCATGTTGTATCACTTCAATACCATTAAAGAAATGTCATGATATCCATTTATCGTTAGCAGTTTCACTTTAATTTCATTTGCCAAAGACCTATTATGTTAATGTGACCTTTCCTCAATGTGTCTTGCTCTCAATACAATGCCCTTAACGTTGCCAACCGTGGCTCCTGGTATTGCTTGCCACCCTGATACTTGGCACAAACACCACCTGCAGCCAACATTTCCCCAACACCAAAAACTCTGGGTTTGCCCCTACCTCTAACTCACTGGAATCATTCTTCCTATGCTCCCTTGGACTTTGCTGCCTGGCCTTACCTTTCGACCTCTGCTCCAACCTTTGCCTCCGGGCTGCCTCTTCTGCCGGCAACCATTTTCAATTCACATTTAAGTCCTGGGCTCTACCTAGTGGCAGACGTTTATCAGTACAGGTAGTACTGGGACCTCAGCTGATGTCTGCACTAACCAAATGGCCAATTTCTGCCACTGGATGGAGCCTGGTCAAAATAAAAGCATTGCATGTTTTCTTGCATATTGTATTCCTTTTATGTTTAGTTTTATGTTGAAAGTTACTTCAGCTGGGATGCACAGAGCTGCACATATATGACAACGTTGTCCAGATAAGACAGAGGTGAAGCACATGGTAAGGACAACCGAGGCATATATGATAAATAGTAGCACCCTAAGGAACACCAAGGAAAAGAGACACATAGATATCCATAACCACCAGTCCCAGAAGTGAATGGGACAGGTGGATAAAGTGGTTAGGAAGGCACATGGGATACTTGTCTTTGTTAGCTGAAGCATAGAGTTTAGGAGCAGGGATGTCCTATTGGAAGTGTTTAAAATGCTGGTTAGGCCACAGCTAGAGTATTGTGTGCAGTTCTGCAATTCACAATATTGAAGGGATGTGATTACACTAGAGAGGGTACAGAGGAGACTTATCAGGATGTTGCCTGGGCTGGAGAGTTTTAGCTATGAGGACAGGTTGGACAGATTGGGGTTACTTTCCTTAGAACAGAGGAGACTTCAGGGTTGGGGGGGGGGTTGGAATGATCAAGATGTTTAAATTTGCTTGGAGTGGGAATGAGCTGCATAGATAGGAAAAGACTTGTTTCCTTGTTGGTGGGATCACTGACCAGGGGGCAAAGATTTAAGGTATGGGGCATGAGATTTATATGGAAATGAGGAAAAGATTTTTCGCCCATGACACTTAATTAGTATTTAGATGTGCATTTGTGATGCTGAAGCATCCAAGGCTATAGGTCAAGTGATGAAATAGGGTATTAGAATAGTTAGGTACTAATTTTTGACCGATACAGTCTTGATAGACTAAAGGGCCTTTTCTGTGCTGTAGACTTCCATGACATTGTTCTGGGGTAAGATAAGCCCAAGGTAACTGAAATCTAGCTTTAACGTTGACTAATCTATCCTTCACAAAATTATTTTACTTAGTTGTGATTTTCAGGAATGCAACCATATTTTTTAGTTGAAGTCTTATTGTAATCTGAACCAAGAGTCCAAAACTGACTTAAAGATTAAAAGATGGGACAGTCCACACTTACAGCAGTGAAAATACAGTTTGACAATGGGTAATAGAAGCTGAAAAATAACACTTCAAATTTGGACAAACACTTGACGAGGATACACATCTTCAGTGCGATAACATTTTGAAATAGATTTAAATAAGCAACATGAACCCAGACAATTTAGACAGGTGAAAGGAGAAAAATTGAGGAAAATTATCCAAAGGTGATTAATAACAATAGCGGTACAGCAACAATGCCCAATATTGCAGCAGCCAAGCAGTACAGAACTGTGAGAAAATAGATTTCAGATAAAAATGTTGCAATGTTGATACTGATGTGATTTTTAAAGAAAACCATTTTATTCAAAGTAATTCCTTTTCCCTCTCTTTTAAATTCTATGGTCTCCATCAATTCAATCTCTGCTGACTCAGCATCGTGGTAACAAAAAAAAGAGCATGTTCTACACACATCAATCTTCCAACCAACATAACTAAAAAGGTATATAATTTTATTCTTGTTTGTGGAATCTTGCTGAGTGCAAATTGTGGCGTTTCTACAAATTACTATTTTTACTACACTGCAAAAGTAATTCACTGGTTATTAAGTACTTTGCAACATCCTGAGTCTGCAAAGGGCTTCACGGAAAGGAATGGTTCTAAAAATGAAAAAAAAATATGATTTTTCATTTGTTGTGTTCATTAGAAATAGAATAAACACCTTGTAATTTCTTCCTTGCTCCCATGGCGCTCTTGTTCTGTGCTGATCCTTTCTCTCAGTCGATTGATCTCCACATCAATACTTTTGGGAGTTCTGACGACCTCCAATCGCTCTGCATAAATCTGCTTGGCTTTAGCAATATTTTCCTGGAATAAACAAAATGATAAAGATCTGAGGAAGCTAAATAGGGCACTTTGCATCATAATCTCATCCCAACTACCAGATGCACCATCTATACACCTATGCAAGTGTGTAAGGAGAGAAACTTAAGTTTTTGTATCGTTGCGAGTCCAACATACAAATTCAAACCTCTCATTTCCTTCTCGGTTGAGCAATTTCTGCATAGGATAGTAAATTCAGCAGCACCATGCTAACTCGCACTTTCTATTCAAATATTGTCCACTCTCTGACATTTAAATAGCCAAAAGAATATCACACATTTTTTTAAAATCTCAATGAGTTTCACAGTGAATTTGATAATTCCTCTATTAGGCAGCTAATGATAACAGATTATAGTTTGGAGAAAATTATTTTTTGAAACAGAGCTGTGACATCAAGAAACTCCATTTGTCACAACCTGAGACAGGGGCCACTGCTTCTTAAAAGTGCAATTGGAAAAATACTTGGAGCAGGAATGATTTAAGGCTGTTAGACCACAGTAAGGCAGCTAAATTAATTTGATTGCTGAAACAAAGAGCTGGTGGACATGCAATAAACTGAAAAGTCTCCTTCTCTGCTATAAACATTTATGACAATTGCTCTCCAGAGTCCTGACTAAGCTTAGACTGTTACTGCAAATCACAACTCTGTGCTTATAACATCTCCTACTTTAAAAAAATCCCAGCAGAAATCTGACAGCCCCACTTAAATAGTTGTGTTGAGAAAACAGTACATTCTAACCGATGGCTATTTTGTATTATCTATCTTGGATAATTCTCACTCCTGATTTTGATTGACTCAGTAGGAGTAGTTGTAAAATCAGAAACAAGACAATAGGATAGCTATAGGGAGAAAATATCTAAATGTCAGCACAAAGTCTTTAGGACCAAATCCGATGGAGAGTTGCTGTTGAAACAAAACAACCTCAAAAGCAGAGCAAAGGTAACACCAAAACTTGAAATAGATAAAGTGGAATTCTGAGATATGAGTATATTTCACGGACTGGACATTTCAATAACTTTTGCAGTACCACAACAGTCATTTAGTTATTGCATTAGCACGTCATCTTTTTTTCCATCTTTAAGGTCCATGCTGACATAAACAGTTAAAACAGTTGAAACAGCAGAATGCATTACAAATAGCTAGAATTTAAACTGGTTTGGGTTTGTTGAGTATCTCATGAAATAATGCAAAATGTATAAATCAATTGGAAGGATGAGTTATTGATTTTCATCAAAATCAGGGATGTTTGAATTATATTTTCAAATTAGTCGCAACGTTTTATTAGCTTAATGTTACTTCAAAAGACACAGTCAGCTGGAGGCCAGTATTTTGAAAAGATATCTGCTTGGCAGAGAAAGAAGTCCTTCTATGGAATCTGCGTGTTTTGTGGCACCATTTTGAATTGCAAGTGTATCAAAATATTGCAAAATACAATGCGGCTGATTTTATGGAATTATTTTAGCACTTTTTCCTGTGTTTTCAGGACACGATAAGTCACACATCGCAGGATGGTGACGGGATCAAACTCTGATCTGAGTTTGACCAACACAAGCTCCACAGTAAGTTACATCCTCAGAATCTTTAGGTTATGGTAAGTTAAAAATTAAATTAAACCCTGAATATTTAAAATGTCTGAAGACAGGGTCAGCTTCAGCTGTAATGTAATTTGTGTAATCTGAAATTGTCTTGTCCAGAGAGCAGTGAAAGTTGAGTCCTAAATATAGTCAAGGCTGAGTCAGATAGATTTATGATCATCATTAGAATGGAGGTTTATGGAGGGGAAACAGGAAAGTGGAGTTGGGCCACAATCAGATTAGCCATGATCCAGCGCTGTGTTCTTTTATACAACTTAAAAACTCGATTGAAATATATCTTAAAATATTCAAGAAAAAATAATTTAAAATATTCATTACAGTCAAACAATGGATAAAATAGTTAAAAAAAATTAAGTATTTAAGAATAAGTCAAATCAAAATAAGGATGCAAAATTTATGTTAATACTTTCGTAACACAATGACTTTCCTTTTACAAAAGTTCTGATGTTTAACAAGTGATCACTCACAGAATGAAAAATCTGTGTATACCTCCAAAACCTTTTCTTTACTTTCCAGGTTCTCTTTTAGCTTATCTATTCCTTCCAAGTGCTCCTTTCTTTTCTCTTCATAATGCCTTTTATGATGTTTACATTTTCCAACTTCTGTATCAATCTTATTTAGCTCATCCTGTTTTGAAGAAATGCAGGTAATTTTAATACTGAGTAATTCTGTAACAAGTCAAGAAAAGTTGTAAAACTGTACACAATCAATTTGCACCTTAATTGGATCAGCTCCTTCAGCTATTAAATTGATCTTTTCCTTCACTTCTTTGTACCTTTGTTCAGCCTCATTCACTATCTTTCGGTGCTCATCCATATCTTTTCTGGCGTCTTCTAGCTTATTCCTGTCAGACACAATTCTGTGCCAGATATCTTGCACTTCTTCTTCCTACGTTTTGTTGTTTTAAAAATGAGGAAAATTAAGAGCAAATATAAGGGAATCAGTTCTCATCCGAACTTTTATGAATGATTTATCTTCATGCAATCTCAAGACACCAAAGTTCATTTAGTGCACTATTTCAAAATGTAACGCACAAGCCTAAACTAATTCAAAAAGGGTCAAGACACTCACCAATGTGGAGATGTCCACAGACTGTGGCTCCTCCACATTCTCCAAATCTGAAATTTCTAGCTTTATCTTTGTCATACTTTCCTAAACCAAAAAAAATGAACAATAAATATTCAAGGTCAATTTCCTTTTCATCTAGAAGTACATCCAATGTTTTGGTTCTAAATTTTAGTTACAAACCTGGATTTTCCTCTTTTGCATTTGTTTCATTTTCATCTGAGTCTCATTAATCCGAATTTCTTCTATTATTGACTGCAATCGTTGCTGAAAATGTGACAACTTTGCCATCTTGTTGCTCACTTCCATTTCCAGCTGACTGTAATATAGAAAATACTTCAGTGATCAAAGCATATTTCTGGAAAACAAATGATAGTTAACATAAATTTGACATTTTGCCTTTTCTCAGCTACACTCAAGTGCTGTACTACAAGAAATAAACTTTCTCATTTAAAGGCATATTCCAGTATATTATGAACTTTCAGTCAATACTTCAAAACTCCTGAACACAAACAAATCATTAAAACGGCCACCTCAAACCATATGACCATGGGAAATTTGAGCTCCAAAGCCTCCCAAATCTCAAGCAAATACTGAAATACAGACATTCACAGCCAGTGATTTCACATCTGTTTTTGATTAAAGATGGATCATCAACAAAAGAGCAATAGCATTTCAGCCAACCCATATTTCTGTTTTAACATTTAATAAAAGAAATATCAAAACTCAATGTTTGTTAGACAAGTGTGAATTCATCCCATCAAACTTTATTTCTAATATGACAGTTTTCCTCATTCAAGCCAGGCTGGTTGTATATAAAGCTGTCAAACAGCAGTACAAGATGTGCAATTAACACGCCACTCTTTTGAAAAAGGTCTTTAAACCTACCTGTCTGTCTCCTCTCCACCTATCTTCTCCTTAATCCATCTTCTATCCACCTCCCCCTCTCTCCCTATTTATTTCAGAATACCCTTCCCCTCCCCTATTTCTGAAGAAGGGTCTAGGCCCGAAACATCAGCTTTCCTGCTCCTCTAATGCTGCTCGGCCTGCTGTGTTCATCCAGCTCTACGCCTTGTTATCTCATATTATGAGAAACTCATTTTAAACGCTGCTTTTAGAGGTACCCTGTGTCATTCTGAAGTGGCCAAAACCAGCAGTCTCAAAAGATGGCACTGCCAGAAGTTCTGAGGAAACAATTTGAGTTCCACATTCTGAGGGATCAAGAATTCCATGAGATGGGCATGAAGGCTGGAGTCAATGAAGCAGAGCTTCCTCTCCTCAGCAGCTCTATAGAGTAGGTCTCCTCAGCAGAATTTCCTCAAAGCTGCATGGCCACTCCGAGGGTCGGTGCACGGTGTTTGGCAGGCAACACTGTTCCCAGCTTTGATTTGCATTTACCGTCCTTGGCAAAGGATGTGAAATTTCATTCAATGGTTCAGGGTAATGAAGAGTTGTCCCATTCTATCAAATTCCCTGTAAAGTAACGATTGGCCAGAGACCCTAGGTGTACTCGGATGAATTCATATTTAGCACCACTTCTGAGAATGACAGCAAGAGGGTAAGAGACTGAAGAGCACTAGTAAAGGACTAGTTAAACACAAACAAGTCACACTTCAGTTACCATTATCTGTTCAATATCTGCCTCGGTTCCAGGCTGTGGCGACTACAACTATTCCATTGCATGGGCATCTCTGCTGCAACAGTCTTCAGTTGCAATACTAACATACTGAAAACAGCACTACCCAATTCTTCATTCTCTAACGTTTCACAAAATTATCATTACAAATTTTTCAGGTTGTGGAACATTGTATTCATTTTAGCTTCTTCATTTGTTATGCCATCTTCACTCAAATAGTGACATACTCATCACCTAACAACTTGGAATCATAACTGTACAAAGACTGAAGGGAAGACTAAGGTGAAGGAAGGGAGGAAAAGTATTTCTTTATCATTAATTGATAGGATGTGGGCATCACTGGCCAGGCCAGCAATTATTACCAATCCCTAACTGCCCAAAGGGCAGGTAAGTGTCAACCACACTGTTATGGTCTTAGAGTCATATGTAGGCCAGACCAGGTAAGGATGGCAGTGTTTTTCCCTAAAGGATATTAGTGAACAAGATGGGTTTTTCCAACAATTGACAAATGATTTCATGGCCATCATTAGACTCTTAATTGCAGTTAGTTAATGAATTCAAATTTCACCATTTGTCATGGCAGAATTCAAACCCAGGTCTCTAGAGCATTACCAGGGTCTCTGGATGAACAGTGTAGTGATTATATCACTAGACCATTACCACCCCTAAAGTGGCAAGGTATGGAGGGAGAAGGGGATAAAGGACGTGCAGGACCTAATCGCCAAAGTATTGCGTACAGTTCTGGTCACACTACCAGAATGATGTGGATGCTTTGGACAGGGTACAGAAAAAGTTTACCAGGATGTTGCCTGGTATGGGCGATTTTAGTTAGGATAAAGGTTGGATTAACTGAGTTTGTTTTCACCTGCATGCAGGAAATTGAGAGGTGACCTGATGGAAGTTTATAAGATTGTGAATGGCATCGATAAAGTGGAAAGTATGAGGCTTTTTCCCAGGTGGAGTAACCAATTACTAGTGGACACAGATTCAAAGTGCGAGGGGTTAAGTTGAAAAGAGATGTGAGACGTACATTTTTCACATAAAAGGGCGGTCAGTGCCTGGAACGCGCTGCCAGAGGAGATGGTGAAAGCAGACACAATAGCAGCACTCAAGAAGCAACTGGGCGAGTACATGAATAGGAAGGGAATAGAGGGATATGGATCCTGTAAGTGAAGACAGTTTTAATATGGAAGGGCAAAATGTGTTGGCACAGGCTTGGAGGGCCGAGGGGCCTGTTCCTCTGCTGTATTGTTCCTTGTTCTCTTAATCATTAAAAGACCTATTGCTCAATCCTTCATATTTCTGAGAAGTTGCAATACTAACACACAGAGATTTACAAACCTGATTTCTGATTCCACATCACCACCCAAATATCTTGCCCTGTCTGTTTCTGAAGAGTAGTAGCGGTTGGCAAAGACCTGGTCACCTGCTGCAGTAAAGGCTTCTCTGCAGTTTGCAGGTGGTCTTTGCTGCTGCATAATTTCACGAGCTCTGCTGTTACTCTAGAAATGAAACAGCGTACATTTAGTGTCCTGCTAGAATTAATTTAGTCTAAACGGTTTGCTCGAGACAAATTCTAGTACATGCCTACTCATTGTTCTTTGAAGAGCAATGAAATAATCTGTTGTGTATGTTAGCTTCTGCTACTGTAATAATAATCATACATCTCATCCAGATTTGACCAGTGAGTTAATATTCCATATACTATAATACAGTTCCAAATAGCAGTGAGCCAAATCATTGATAGCAGTGAAACCAACTCTCACTAAGTAATGAAATCATAGTTTCTAAAAGTGGCATATAGAAGCAGAAATATATTTTTAAAATCCAGGACAAATAAGATTTTATGCAATTTATTTCATGATACATTTCTAATTAATGTATTAATTCCAAACTTCGAACAAATGAAAAGGAAGTCTGGTTCTGGTAGAAGGCAAATTCACCAAAAAAGAAAGTTGGTTACGATTTTCCAAAATCCATTGATGATAGAATTGTTCTAGCAGATATTAAGTTAGTAAATGTAAAAACACTATTCATGAAAGAGGAGACAGAAAACATGAAACTATGGAGCACTAAGCTTGATACAGTTACTAGGACGTTTCTACAACTTATGATGAAGGAAACCTAAACAAAGGACTTAGGAAATGATACAGATAGTCCCTGGGTTGCGAACAGATTCCATTTTTGAGTCTGTTTGCAAGTAGATCTGTACACAAGTCAAATTTGTAAGCATGAGGAAACATTTGTAAGTCATATTTTTAAAACTAATATTAATACATCCCTGTATGGGATCGTGCTTGTAATTTGGATATTCGTAAATCAGGGACACTCTGCAAATATGATCAGGCAAAGCCAATAAGCTTTTATGAAAGGGAAAGGTGAAACAGGCTTTTAAACAACATAAGTAGCTGAGATTCAATATGCTGCATTATGCAAAGTAAATCCAATCAATTTCAAACTTTTAAACAACCACAGCCACATGTGAAATTCTACAGAAAGAAAACTGCAAAAGATGAACTTACACTGATTAACAGGATTCTTTCCACTCCTCTCATGTCAATTAGACAGTTTGCCACCACTGGACTACTTATTTCCAAGGCATCAAGAACTGTTGGGAAATCTGGATGATGAACAGCTCTTCATGGAGGAAAATACAAATTCACAATTAATTCAGTACTATCGCCACAATAAAACTTTGAAATCAGTGACTGGAAAGAATGAAGAATAACAACCTTATAGATTAGGTCAGCAATAAAATTCTGCCCTCTATGAAATACAACTATGCAGTTTTTGACTAATCAAAACAAGATATTTGCATTCATTCTAAGAATGTTATAAAAATTTCACAATATTAATACATATCCACCTATCTGAACTGTATTAACAACAGGACTGGGGTACATAGTCCCATTTTCCTGCAAACTCATCTGTGTGGCTAACGCTTTAACAGACAGATGACATACCTGTTACAGCATAATCATTTATTTTGAAACTTGTAACAGACTCAAATGTGACTAGCAACAGCTATTGTACAATGCATTAAACCATGAGATATGGTCCTTTTTAAAATAAAACCCGACTGACAGAAATAGACAAGTGCAAGTATAGCTGTTGATAAGGAAGGCAAATGGAATTTTGGCATTTAATGCGAAGTGAATAGAATGAAAAAGTAGGGAAGTGTGGCTGCAACTGTACAAGACATTGGAGAGACCATACCTGGAGTATTGCATAGAAATTTGATCCCCTTACTTAAGGAGGGATGTTGCTATACGAGAGGCTATTCAAAGGAGATTTTCTAGATTTGATTCCAGAGATGACAGGCTTGTTTTATGATGAGAGATTGAGCGGTTTATGCCTATAATCTCTGGAAGTTGAGAAGAATGAGGGTAGATCTAATTCAGGTGTACAAGTCGCTAAAAGGGATTGACAAAGTAGACATAGGATGCTTCCTTATGTGGAGCAGTCTAGCATTTTTAGGGGCAGCAGTTTTAAAAGCAAGATGAGGAGAAATTATTTCCCTCGAAGTGTTGTCAGCCTGTGAAATTCACGATCCCAGAGGGCAGCAGACACTGGGACGAAGGTGAAGATAAATAGATTTTTAATTAGTTGAGGGATGAAGAGTTATGGAGAATGGGCAAGAAAGTGCTGTGAGGTAGAGATAAGATCAGCCATGGTTGTGTCAAATGGTGGAGCAAGGGGCTGAATTGCCTACTTCTGCTCCTAGCTCATGTTCTAAGTGCACAAATGTTATGTGGGGAATTTTATATTGTTGACCCAACGCTTCTCTGTAAAACATTTTTCGTGACAACATCTTAATGAAATATTAAACAGTTGAGAATTTCAAAACATACCTGCCCTTTACATTGTATACTTGATTTGCAAACTCACACACATTAATTTGGGGTCGTCTTCCTGAAGTGAAATAGCGTGACATCAAACTCTGTAGCACCTGCTCATCTCTGTAATTATCACAGCAAAATGAAAGCAGTAGTCCTTTCAAACAACTTTCAACCGCCAAAGCCAATTCAGGATATTTCAACTTGAAGCAAGCACCTAAAATAAAAAGGTAAAACTTTTACAGAGCAATTAACTTTGACTATTTCAAAATTACTAAGATTAATATGTTTCCAAGCAAACTCATCACAGTCATAACTGTTTACATCAGAAGAACTGTATTATACAATGGACAAAATAAAGCTTGAATATGTCAATACTTAACTCAGCTCATCACATTTGAAGTTTCTTTATGATGAAATGCATTGCATTTTACAGCACTGAGCAACACAAAACAGAAAAGTTTCATGTTCAATTTTTGCTCTAGTCCTCAGCTGGGTGTCTGTAGAAACCATACAATTCACCTAACCACCCCAAGTAGTACGTGAAAGTAAGTCAGGGCTTTTGCATGCATAATTTTGCAGTGATTATGAAAATATCAAGTAGTGTAAGGATTTGAGCAAACACCATTATTCACTGCTAAATGACCTCACATGTACCCCAATTTGACAGAAATAGGCACTTGGGTAAGCCAATAAAATGCTGATAGATTAATTCATGCCTTCAAAAGGAAGTAATAGATGCAAAAAAGATAGAAGAGCTAATTCTGATCTACTAAACTGATTAGCTGACCAGTGTTAATTAACGTAGTTAGAACTGCCAAGAATGTTGAATTCTATTAAATATGCCACAATAAACCATTCCCAATTGATAGTTAAAAACAAATATTGCTGAAGTGGTTACGCTCAAACATCACTCAGTTGGTTGGACAGCTGGTTTGCAATGTAGAGTCACGCCAACAGTGCGAGCTCAACTCCCTCACAAGTTGAGGTTATCATGAAGGATGCTCCTTCCCAACTTCTCGCCTCACCTGAGGCATGGTGACCCTCAAGTGAAACCACTAGCAGCTGTCCCTCTAATGAGACAGCGGATGTATGATCTGGTAAGACAATGGCGACTTTTATTCTTTTCCACTCATTCACTGCATGAGGGTGTCACAGGCTAGGCCAGCATGCATTGCTTATCCATAATTGCCCAGTTAAGAGTCAACCACATTGCTGTGGGTCTGGAGTCACATGTAGCCCAGACCAGATAAGGATGGCAGTTTCTCCGATTAAAGGACATTAGTGAACCAGATAAGTTTTTCTGACAATCAGCAATGGATTCACGGTCATCATTAGAGTGTTAATTCCACATTTTTATTGAATTCAAATTTCACTACTTGCCGTGGCAGGATTCGAAACTGGGTCCCCAGAACATTACTTGGGTCTCAGAATTAACCATCTAGTGATAATATCACTAAGCAATCACCTCCCTGTTTATTATGCCCAAGCAATAGAAGAAATAAATATTAATGGTCAAACCACAAACAGTAATACGAAGGATAAGAGGGATTAACTTTGATCAGATACTTTTCTCAATATTTATGACTTGACCCTCTTAGAAGAAAGAATCTTCTAAAGAATGAATCAGCATGTAGTCTTGCACAAAATAAATTGAAAGGTCTTGAAGTATTCGCACTGCATTTCTACTGTAGTAAAAGTCAACAGTAAGTGAAATGCAGAAACAGGTCATTCAAGGCCAATTAATCTGTTATTCTGTATATCATACATGAATAATGGCCCAAATTGCACATCTGTCCTGTCTCCATATGCCAACAAGTCCGTTCCTGCAATCAGTTATCTCACTAAGAGAAGTTGAAAGTCTTTATTTTAATTATTAACTCAATGAAATTGGGACCTTCTACACAGGTATAATGTTATAACATTGTACTTCAATAAGTTAAATTTAACAAAGTTTATATTCACCCTTTCTTAGGGACATCACTCCTCCTATTCCAGGATGCAGCTGGGTCACTCAGCATTAGCAAGTGATGTGAAATATCATGTGACATCCTAACAGATGAGACTAATAAGACGTTCCCAGTTTATACCCATTTTCTTCGTTTCATTTCACCACACACTGCTTAAACAAATTAGCTAGCTTAGATGCTTATCACATGGGAGCCAGTCTTTTTAGGTGTTCCATGCAGAAGAAATATTTACCACTTGCCCTATCCAGTTTGTCCTCCATAAACATAGTAACCCCATATCCTCGCTCCACAAGAATAATCCTGTTCAAGAGGTCAAACCAGCAGAACATTTTTGAGATCAATCCCATTACAAATCACTGTAGCATTTCTATGTGCATTTCAATAGTTTAATAGTCAAAAACTTATCTTGTTTGGTCATTCTGGTATTCAATC